AGTAAAAGAGCCTTGATAATGTAAAATTTTCTAAGTTAACAAAAGGGCAAATTTTTTCTTTAAATCCATGTTACAGTTTAAGGCCTTGGAGAGAGTCCTATTATGCTCTCTAAGAAAAGTATAAAATTCCAACTTGTTTCAAAGCCAGATATCAGTAGAATATGAAAATATCTGAGGTGGTAGGCAAACTTAAATGTAAAATTTTAAGTTCAAAAAGGGGCATTATTTTGTCAAAATGCTTGATATAGTTACCTCCTCCTGTCTACAGGTTGGGGTAATGATGGTGAACAAGTGTGCAAAGTATCATAGACATATGTCTATGGACTTTGAAAATATTTGAGGTATAACAACAAGAGCTGTCTGTAGGACAGCAATGCTCAACTATTCTAAGTGCTTGTTGATAGTAAAAGAGTCTTGATAATGTTAAATTTTCTAAGTTAACAAAAGGGCCAAATTTTTTTTTAAATCCATGTTACAGTTTAAGGCCTTGCAGGGAGTCCTATTATGCTCTCAAAGAAGAGTATTAAATTTCAACTTGTTTCAAATCCAGATGTCAGTAGAATATGAAAATATCTGAGGTTGTGTGCAAACCTAAATGTAAATTCTGTCAAAATGCTTCATAGAGTTACCTCCTCCTGTCTATAGGCTGGGGTCATGATGGTTAACAAGTGTGCAAAGTTTCAAAGCCATATGTCAATGGACTTTGAAAATATTTTAGGTGTTACAAAAACTTTAACATAAATTCTAAGATAAAAAAGGGTCATAATACTGTCAAAATGATTGATTTGATACAGTTACCTCCTTCTGTCTACAGTTTGGGGTCATGATAATGAACAAGTGTGCAAAGTTTCAAAGCCATAATTGTCAATGGACTTTGAAAATATTTGAGGTATTAAAACCAATAATTACTTCTTTGAAAGTTACATGTATATAAACATAACAGTCACTTATGATATATGCCAGTGACCCTGAAGATACAAAGACCTGGCCTTTCAATCTAAATAGAAATGTGTTGTCACACCACGGATGCCCCCGCATGCAGCCAAAATTTCAGATGTTATAATATTTGGTTCCACATTTGTTTGCATAAACTATTTTTCTTTTCATTTTAAGTTCAAAGCCTTTAAAACTATTCAATGTTAATACACAAAGTTCAAGGCACTGAAACTATTCAGTGTACAACTGTTGGAGAGATAATGAACGGAAACTGAAAATTTCCATTTTTACAAAGTAATAGGGGCATTACTCTGCCAAAAATTATTGAACCATAATCAAATTCAAACTTGGCCTGCAAATTCCTTTGACATATCCACATGTTAAATATGAGTTGAATGTGTACAACTGTTGGGGGAGATAATGAACAGAAACTGAAAGTTTCATATTATTTTCAAAGTGAAAGGGGCATAACTCTGCCAAAATCATTGAACCATGACCAAATTTGAACTTGACCTGCGCATTCCTTTGAGGTATACATATGTCAAATTTGAGTTGAATGTGTAATACTGCTGGTGAGATATTATGAAGGGAAACTGAAAATTTCATATTATTTTCAAAGTGAAAGGGGCATAACTCTGCCAAAAATCATCAAACTATGACCAAATTTAAACTTGACCTGCGCATTTCTTTGACGTATCCATATGTCAAATTTGAGTTGAATCTATAATACTGCTGGGGAGATAATGAACGGAAACTGAAAATTTCATATTATTTTCAAAGTGAAAGGGGCATAACTCTGCCAAAAATCATCAAACTACGACCAAATTCCAACTTGACCTGCGAATTTCTTTGATATATCAATATGTCAAATTTGAGTTGAATGTGTACAACTGTTGGGGAGATAATGAACAGTAACTGAAAATTTTATCAATGGGCATAACTCTGTAAAAAATCATCAGCCCATGACCAAATTTGACCTGTATTTTCTCATGATATATCCATGTGATATTTGAGTTGCATGTGTGCAACTGTTACTTAGATAACTAGAACTGCCACTGTGATGGTGTGAATACCCCCGCCCACCACTTTGTCAGAATCAACAGTGGTCATTTAGAGCTCAAGGACAACCTCCCTTCCAAATCTGACAGTATTAAGCCAAAGCATTGCTAAATTATGTATTCTACATGTATTTTGTGGCAAAGATCAAAGTGACCTTTACCTTTGACCTCAAACATGAAACTGCCACTGCATGACTTGAATACCCACATTCATGCGGTTTTGCCTGGGGATGTTTTATGATGAATATATGAGATCATAATTAATTATATGCTTCAAATGTAAAAATCAATAACACTTAATACAGGCATTCTTAAGCATTTGAGCGGATAAGCTTAGTTTAGTAAAAGCCCCTGTGACCTTGACCTTTGACCCACTCACCTCAAAATCAATAGGGATCATCTACTGATCATGGCTAACCTCCATACTAAACATGAAGACTGTGGGTCAAAGTAATCTTAAGTCATTGGGAGGACATGCTTTTTTCAGTCATGACCCCTGTGACCTTGACCTTTAAACAGTGACCTTAAAATCATTAGGGATCATCTACTGATCATGGCTAACCTCCATACTAAACATGAAGACTGTGGGTCAAAGTAATCTTAAGTCATTGGGAGGACATGCTTTTTAAAGTCAAGGCCCCTGTGACCTTGACCTTTGACCCGGTGACCTCAAAATCAAGAGGGGTCATTTACTCATCATCACTAGCCACAATGCAAAATATGAAGACTGTGGGTCAAATGAATCTTAAGTTATTGGGCAGACAAGCTGTTTGAAGTCAAGGCCATTGTGATGTTGACCTTTGACCCATTGACCTCAAAATCAAAAGGGGTCATCTTCACATTGTGACTAACCTAAAGCATTCTTTAGTTATTGACGGGAAAGCATTTTTACCTATAAGGTCAATGTGACCTTGAGCTTTGACCCCTTGACCCTCAAATTAATAGGGTCATCTTCTGATCATGACCAATCATCATACCAAATTTGAAGTTCCTAGGCCTAAGCATTCTTTTGTTATTGATCGGAAACCATTTTTACCTACATGGTACATGGCTTTGACCACTTGACCCCAAAATCAATAGGGGTTATCTACTGTTCATGACCAATTATCATAACAAGTTGAAGTTCCAAGACCTAAGGGTTTTTTAGTCATTGATCAGAAACCATTTGGTCTATGGACCGACAGACCCGCCGACAGACAAACAAATGCAAAGCAATATACCCCCACTTCTTTGAAGGGGGGCATAACCAAGCTGTTCATAAGCTATTCAATCAGTGCATAATTTGAACATTTCCCTATAAAAGATGGTTTAGTCAAGTATGGAAGATGAACAAGACCAATGAACAAGACCATTTTAATATTAAGCATGGAAAAGGTGTTAACATACAGTGATCATTATCAAACTTTAAGTAGCATAGAATAATTCATGTAGAGCGAACAGTATACACGTAGTTATATATTTCCTCTGTTTTAAGCCTTCTTATATTACCTGTACTTCAAAAATTTAACTGGTACACTCCTTTATGCCACTAAAATAACATTTTACCATAGCGTATAATATCATCATATATATGTATAGCTTGTTTTAATTTTGTTTTTTTTTCTCATGAAAATAATCATTAAAATTGTAACAAGAGGGCCATGATGGCCCTGACATTGCTCACCTGTATATAGGGCACTGGGCCAAGGCCAACTTTAAACCAGTGGCTTTTATTTGAACAAACTTGGTAGACACCCATTAGAAGATAATTCATGATAAATATCTAAGCTCTAGCTCTTTGGGGTTTTTAGAAGAAGATTTTTCAGTTTTTACTATACGCATATAAGGAATATCAATGACTCCTGGGACAGGGCCAATTTTTACCCAAGGGTCCTTATTTGAACAAACTTGGTAGACACTCATTAGAAGATGTTTCATGCTAAATATCTTAGCTCTAGCTCTTTGGGGTTTTTAAATCTTTTTAGGTTTTTACAATATACAAATAAGGAAAATCAATGACCCCCAAGGGTAAGGCCGATTTTCACCCAAGGGAATTTATTTGAACAAACTTGGTAGACACTGACTAGATGATGTTTCGTGCCAAACATTTAAGCTCTAGCTCTTTTGGTTTTCTTTAAAAAGATATTTTAAGTTTTTTCTTTAATAGCAACCAGAGTTCTGCTTGGAATTAAATCCTTTGAACAATTTTTGAAGTTGACTACCAAAGGAACATTCCTGTGAAGTTTGGATGAAATTGGCTCAGCGGTTTATGAGGAGATGTCCATTTACATAAAAGTTTACGGACGGACGCCGGTGGGACGCCGGACGGACAGCAATCACAAAAGTTCACCATGTCACTTTGTGACAGGTGAGCTAAAAAGTCAGCAAATGGTGGAGCAAATTTTGATTCCACGTGCACGATTGATAAAACTTGACAAGAAAATAGGGAAAAACATAATCCATAATGAACGTCAAAAACAACGAAATTGAAAATGTTTCAGGCTTGGTTTGATTGAGCCTGTTCATGGACAGTACTGGTGCAAGTGCATGTTATCATCTATGAAACGCCATGAAGATTTAAATCTTTGGTAAACTTTTGTAAAGGCAATGCTACATGCCAAAAACACAAGCCATGTTAGTTCACACAAAGTTGAAAGTGTTTGAATGTTTGAGACTTAGTCAGCTGAGTGATTATAGGATTGGGCCAATTTTTGTCCCAGAAGAAGATCAAATAACATTAGTAAAAGGGTCAATAAAAATGCTACAGCAAGACCAAATACCTAGCTTTTGGGGTTGACTTTCTATGGTGATCTTTTCAGACATAAGACATGAACAATTTTTAGTGAGTCACATAAAGATCATTTGTGTGAAGTTGGATCAAAATTCTCCAAATGATTGAAAAGGAAATGTTAATTGCAAAAAATATTAGCAATGATGCACAAAGTTATCCTCTCAGCACTTTGTTTTGTATTAAAAGTGCTCAGATAAGTTTAAAACCATCCATACAGTGTTTGCCTCTATTCTTATCATTTTTCCTTTTCCTTACAGCATTTTTATGGTATGAGGTTCAGACACTTTATTTGACAAACCTTTTATTCTCTTTTCCAATGAATCCTCTATATCTTCATCATCATAAGTGTCTTCATCAGTGTCTTCCCCATCTTCACCAGTAGGATCTTTGTTCTTTCGTTCTAAAAATTCCCCTTGAAACGGACTTATATATTCCAAATGCATCTGTTTTCCTTTATGTTTTATATCTTCTCTGTTTGTTAAATATCCCAAAGAATGCTGTTGAGGCAACTTAAATGTTGTGTTACATCTGCTATCCTGCCAACTATAGTGTTTGGGAGATCCTGCTACCAAGGGAGATCGTGATCTTATATCTGCTACCACTTTTTCTGCTTTTCCCTTGAAGTTATATTCAACTACAATTAACATATGAGCAGAATTACCTCTTTCAAGCAACTTATCAGTTGAATTGACAAAGTATTTATAAGTTGGTTGCACCTTCACAAGATATCGACAGCCTCTTTCCAATTTAACAGTTTCCTCTGTATTTAATATCATCTCCTGGAAACAAAATAAACATTTATTATGAAAGCATGAAAATCATCTGAATACAAAAATATAAGAGCACGAAGTCATGTTAAATCACTTAAATGCACTTGTCCAGCTTATATTTTAGGAACTAACCATTATCAATTTTAGGGGTACAATTTTAAGTTTTAGGAACAAATCATTATCAATTTTAGGGTAGAATTTTACTTTATAAGAAGTAACCATTATCAATTTTTGGGATACAATATAACATTTTAGGAACTAACCATTTTCAATTCCTGAGTATCAAGAAAATTTAAAGTTATTCATCTTACAGTATAAAACCAGGTCAGTCTGCTCGGACTGCTGTTCGCTTACCTACTCTATTACAAGTAGAGAAACTGATAGCGAACAGCATGGATCCTGATCAGACTGCGCGGATGCACAGGCTGGTCTTGATCCATGCTGGTCGCAAACCCATTATGTTGGTTTTGTCATGACGCCGCTCATATGTATTTATTACACATACATGCCATCTACAAATAATTCATATAAGATTACCTTCACTTCCATCATTTCTTTTTCATAAACAACTTTACCACAGAAGGACAACTGTAACACGTATTGGACCTGTGTTGAGGGAGGAACAACAGGAATTTGTAGGTAGTCGGATATTTGCAATGGTACTGAATCGGTATCTAAGTACAGCATCATCTCATTAAACTTCACTTCTGGTATTGTGGACACTGAAATGAAATAATAGCCCTTTGATCACAATAATTCAGGCCAAAAATAAAACAACCTGTTTCTGGTCTCCCTACTTTTTCTCTTTAAAAACCGTCAACCCTAGATTTACCTTTACATGATAATCTGTAACTTAACCTATAAAATTGCAAACTGTAACTTCATTTAAAGCTTTCATAGTTAATAAAATGACATATTCATCAATAACTTTCAAATAGCCTTCAGTATCTAATAAAATGTCAAAATAGAGGAGAGCCATTAAAGGGACTCAGCTGAGGTTTATTGAAATGCCAGAACTGAAAATATTTTACAAGGTTTGTGAATAAATTGATGAAGATCTGTACCAAAAACTTGTGTGCAAAATTTGAAATTATTCACTCACTCTTTTTTTCCAGAAAAATTATTCTAAAAAGGAAACATGACTCAAAATTTAAAAGTGTTGCAACGCTTTTTCTTTACACAGGGCAAAAATAGCCTAAATATACGATTTTCAATTAATTTCTGAGTATATTTTCTAACTATCTTTTACATATCTTTCTTTTTTCAAGTGCCCCAGCTGATCTATGTAAGAAATTCTAAGTTTGTGTTTTTAGGCCGGACCTCAATGGAGTTCCTTTAACATACAATAAAAAGAATTGGAATAAATACATGTAACTATAAAAGTCTTACCCTGAGTATGAATTAACTGTGATGATACATTGAAATTATATTGTTGTCTTTGATAATGATTTAATCCAGAAATCTTAATTTTTGCATGTAATGATGATTTAATCATGTCACACTATTCAATATATAGAGATAAATTATGGAAAAAAAACAGGCATAGATATCCTCTGAAGTTCATTATATGGTTGATAATATTATAATAGCACCAATACCTTGAAGAATTTAACAAGTTATAATGAAAATGAAAAAAATGTGAGGTGTTTCTTTTATCTGATGTTAAGCATAAGATAAAATGGGAATAGTGACCAGGGGAGATAATTCATGCAATATGAAAAGCATCTATAATAGATATTTATATATAAACACACCTTACTAGCTATCACATAACAATGCATTCAAAATTTAACATCTACAGTCAAACTTGTAAGCCAAGGCCACCAGGGGAAAGTGTCAAAATGACCTTTGTTCAAAGTGACCATTATTACCTGGATATTATATACATGTATCATTGTATTTCATGAACAATTAATAACCTCCTCTTGTCTATTTTTTTCAGTCATTCAACTAATGAACTAATGAAGAAAAAGCACACTTGATGAAAGTTTACCTGCTGCATCCAAACTTTCATGGAGTTGTCTCTTTTCTAGAAACATACTGAAAGGATTATCAAGAACCTGGCTCTTCTTGTACTCTGAATTTTTTGCCCAATCTCGGTTAAATTTTCTAATCTTATCATAAGCTTGACTGCACCTGTGCAAGAAAATAAGATTTTCTAAAACTAAGAATATGTAACAAAGGATCACAATGCACAGGTTGGTCTGTAATAAGTTTGCATTTACATGTATATTCAATTCATATTAGCTTGTATTTCATTTAATGGAGTCAAGTTTTTAAAGCTCCACTTTTTTAAAGCTGGATTGTTAATTCTAACATGTTTCAAACTACTTCCAATTCAAACAGATACGGACTGTTGAGTGCATTTTAACATGATATAATGCATAGCATAAACAAGAGGGCCATGATGGCCCTGAGGTCGCTTACCTGTATATAGGCCCCCCAACCCCCACCCCCCCAACGTTGCAGGGCCAATTTAACCCAAGGGCTTTTATTTGCACAAACTTGGTAGACACCCATAAGAAGATGTTTCATGCTAAACATCTAAGCTCTAGCTCATTGGGCTTTTTAAAAGAAGATTTTTTTAAAGTTTTTACTATACACATATAGTTAAAAACAATGACACCCCTGGGGCCGGGCAAGTTTTGACCCCAGGGCTTTTATTTGAACAAACTTTGTAGACACTTACTAGAAGATGTTTCATGCTTAATATCTAAACTCTAGCTATTTGGGTTTTTTCAAAGAAGATTTTAAGTTTTTGCTATACACATATAAAGAAAATCAATGACCCCCGGGGCGGGGCCAATTTTGACCCCAGGTCTTTTATTTGAACAAACTTTGTAGACACTCACTAAAAGATGTTTCATGCTTAATATCTTAACTCTAGCTATTTGGGTTTTCTCAAAGAAGATTTTTTAAGTTTTTGCTATACACATATAAGGAAAATCAATGACCCCCGGGGCGGTGCCAATTTTGACCCCAGGGCTTTTATTTCAACAAACTTGGTAGACACTTATTAGAACATGTTTCATGCTAAATATCTTAGCTCTAACTCTTTTGGTTCTTTAAAAGAAGATTTTTTAAGTTTTTACTATATGCATATAGGGAAAATCAATGACCCCCCAGGGCAGGGCCAATTTTGACCCCAGGGCTTTTATTTGAACAAACTTGGTAGACACTTATTAGAACATGTTTCATGCTAAATATCTTAGCTCTAACTCTTTTGGTTCTTTAAAAGAAGATTTTTTAAGTTTTTACAATATGCACATAAGGAAAATCAATGACCCCCTGGGGCGGGGCCAATTTTGACCCCAGGGCTTTAATTTGAACAAACTTGGTAGACACCTATTAGAACATGTTTGATGCTCAATATCTTAGCCATAGCTCTTTGAGTTCTTTAAAAGAAGATTTTTTAAGTTTTTACTATATGCATATAGGGAAAATCAATGACCCCCCCGGGGCGGGGCCAATTTTGACCCCAGGGCTTTTATTTGAACAAACTTGGTAGACACCCATTAGAACATGTTTTATGCTAAATATCTTAGCTCTAGCTCTTTGGGCTCTTTAAAAGAAGATTTTTTAAGTTTTTACTATATGCATATAAGGAAAATCAATGACTCCCCGGGGCGGGGCCAATTTTGACCACAGGGCTTTTATTTGAACAAACTTGGTAGACACTCACTAGAAGATGTTTCATGCCAAATATCTAAGCTCTAGCTCTTATGGTTTTTTAAAAGAAGATATTTAAAGTTTTTTCTTTCGGTTGCCATGGCAACCAGAGTTCTGCATGGAATTAAATTCTTTGAACAATTTTTAAAGGTGACGACCAAAGGAACATTTCTGTGAAGTTTTGATGAAATTGGCTTAGTGGTTTATGAGGAGATGTCATTTAAAGTAAAAGTTTACGGACGGACGGACGACAGACGGACGCCGGATGAAAAGCGATCACAAAAGCTCACCCTGTCACTTTGTGACAGGTGAGCTAAAAATGAAGATGTAAATGATCAGATATGACATCAATAAACAATATGATGTCAGAAAAATCAATTGTACGTTCAATACAGTTCAACATATTTTATCAATACTCTTGTTTATGAGCATGTTAGAATGGAAATAGATATTATTTTTTCTTGCATTATAGTATAATAATGCAAGGTTTATCTTTAAAATGCTTTGTAATTAATCACTCAGGTCTATTGTATTGGCCTTAGTGTTTAAATTCCTGTGCATTTGAACTAAAACTGCATTTTTTTACAACACAGCATTCAAAATTGATATCTATTTTCTAAATAAAAGCCACATAGAAACAAGAGGGCCATGATTGCCCTGAGGTCGCTCACCTGTATAAAGGCACCCGGAGCGGGGCATTGAGTTTAAACCCCAGGGCTTTTATTTGAACAAACTTGGAAGACACCCATTAGAAGATGTTTCACAATGTTAAGTTTTTACTACACACATATAATGAAAAACAATGATCTACGCCCCCCCCCCCCCCCCCATCTGGGCCAATTTGAATCCAGGGGCTTTTATTTGAACAAACTTGGTAGACACCAATAAGAAGATGTTTCATGCTAAAGCTCTAGCTCATTGGGTTTTTTAAAGGAAGATTTTTTAAGTTTTTACTATACACATATAGTAAAAAACAATGACACCCCTGGGGCGGGGCCAGTTTTGACCCCTGCGCTTTTATTTGAACAAACTTTGTAGATACTTACTAGAAGATGTTTCATGCTTAATATCTTAACTCTAGCTATTTGGGTTTTTTCAAAGAAGATTTTTAAGTTTTTGCTATACACATATAAGAAAAATCAATGTCACCCGGGGAGGGGCCAATTTTTACCCCAGGGCTTTTATTTGAACAAACTTTGTAGACACTCACTAGAAGATGTTTTATGCTTAATATCTAAACTCCAGCTGTTTGGGTTTTTTCAAAAAAGATTTTTTAAGTTTTTGCTATACACATAATAAATAATTATAACCTGTACGAAATTTTACTCCTGTATTTTTGCCTAAAAAACACCTGTTTTTCTGTTAAAAATTACAGCCGTATTTTTCTTCAGTTTAGATAAACTTATAGCAAATTATACACTATGTTTTTTCAAAAATACACCTGTTTTACAGCTGTACTATAAACGAAATATGTAAATTAACCGTATTTTTCTACGGATCCAAAAACAGTTGTACTGTTTTACAGCTGTTAAAAATACAGGTGTAAAATTTTACAGGTCTAAAAATACAGGTGTATAATTTTTCAGCTACAAATTACAGGTGTAAAATTTTACAGGTCAAAAATACAGGTGTCCTTTTTGTTTAAGGGATGAAAAAATACAGCCTAATGCAGACATATTTGGCGCTAATGTGTGTTTCATTGTTGGTCAGAAATTTTGTGCATTTGTTGCTACTCAATCTTTAAATATAAGAAATGGTTGAGGGGAAATAATTGAGCTGTGCCATGACAAAACCAAAATAATGGGTTTGCCACCAGCATGGATCCAGACCAGCCTGCGCATCCGTGCAGTCTGATCAGGATCCATGCTGTTCGCTTACCATCCCTATTACAAGTAGAGAAACTGATAGCGAACAGCATGGATCCTGATCAGACTGTGCGGATGCGCAGGCTGGTCTGGATCCATGCTGGTCGCAAACCCATCATGTTGGTTTTGTCATGACGCGGCTCATATCTTTTTAAAGCAAAATGCTGACAAGATTCTGGTACAAATAACAGACATTATACAATCACAAAGAGTTCACATTGGCACTCTGTGCTAAGGTGAGCTGAAATATCACTGAAGTAACTAGAATCACTATCACTAAAGATGGGGATAAATATAACTAATTTTCACTTTGTCTTAAATGGATTACTGTATTTTATTACATTTTGTTACAGTCTTACACTATTGACACTGCATTAATAAAATCCAAGTCTTTGAAAAAAGTAAATGAATAAAACTGCTGGCATCCTGTCATTTGAAGAAACATTCACAAATGCTTAAAATGTTTTTTCCAGTAAAAATTTATCATTACAATTTTTTGTAATTTTTACTGAGGTGCAGCCGGAATTCTCAATTATTATTGCCAAAGTAATGTCTGTGTCTCTAGGTGCTAAATGAAGCCTTATTTGCAAGTGCTTTCTCAACTGGTCCCTGCCATTGTGATGTAAGATCCCATTTGAAGCAACTTCACCTGAATCAAATAAAACATCAATAGTTTAACATTAAATGAATACTAAATGATAATCATTCTTTCAATGCTTGCATTTTGTACTAGTGTCATCAATGCACATATTAATTGTTGACAATTAATGAATACATGTATAAATAATTTTCCGACTTAATGCATTGCTTAAAAACAAATTATTTACTGAGCTGTTTCTATTAGTGGCTTAGGTAACTTAATTGACTGTAAGCATTAAGGTGCAACTAACAAAGAGACTTATTTTGTTTTACCATGAATTTCTTTCAAACTATTCTTATTTATTTTATTATTTCAATTATAATTTTGTTTTACCATGTCTGTTTTAGTCCTCTGCTTTGTTTCCTGAGGGAACGTCTCTCCAGGGGTGTGTACTGTGACCTTAAAGAACAAAATTCATACTTTGTTATAAAAGATATGGAAATAAATAATGACCTATTAATTAAAAGTTAAATACAATTGTATTTAATATCATCTCTTGAAGACAGTATGCAAATATATAAAGCAACAGTTAATATTAAATTAATCAAACTATGCTATTTCATTTTGTGAAAAAATTTACATTTAAAAATTATTTTTCAAGGGTATAAATAGAATGTAAAATAGTATTGTTCAGAATATATAAAGTTGATATTGACAGCAGACATAAAATAACACTTGTTTTTTCTATAAAGGTATCCAAAAGTTATTACCTGAATTTTTATGATTCTGGTGATTTCATCTTCTTGTCCCATTCAAATTTCAATTACAACTGAGCATATCCAGAGATTGTCAACTATTAGTTTTGATTTTCTTCTTTGAAAAGTTCAAAAATGTACCCCCAAATATTTTAAACCAAATATTATCTTGAAAATTTGCTTATAATATATCTCCACAATTTCTTAATTATCAATAAGATCCTTTTAATACATGAGCACTATTTCCAATCTTGCTTACACAAATGCCTCAGATTTCAAATTTTACAACTCAGTATGGGCAGGTCCATTATGCATAATGTTAAACAGGGATATTCCCAAAATCAATGCACCAATCATTTTATTTTCACAATGAGAAAATAAATGTATAATGTAGAATTTCATATTCATAATAAGTTTTTGAAGATAACTTTGCAATGTCCTTCTAAACAGACTCTTCATATAAAATCAATAAAGTTGTTTCCCCCCAAAAAAATCACATGACTGTAGCAGAATTTATGGTGGGAAAACAGGTGTTATCAGATGGTCAGTGGTGTAAAATCGTTGCATGCAGAGTGGTAGAGGCAGTATTTATTTATTTATCCTATTTATAAGAAAGGTCATGTATATTACAAATCTTTATGTTACAATAAGATTAAGAGAGCTTAATGTATGAGTTTAATACATACACAAACTTTACAGAGTGTCAAGCATAACAAATTTCCAAACAATCTTGGGAGTCTTGAATAAATACATGTACCAGTTTGTTTTTTTTGTTTGTTTTTTTTTTCTCTTTTTTTCATACAAAAAAAAAGTGAATCCTTAAAAAAACAGCAAGTGCAGGCCTATGTAAACTATTTCATATATTTTTAAACTAAATGATCATATTCAATGGTCATGTATATTCAAATTTAGATAGCATTCTTAGTTCAATGTTGCTTACATAATGTTAAAAAATAAATCCTAAGTGTACACTGCATCAAAGATACTAAAGTATTTAAATAAGAACAATTCTCTAGGCTGTTTTGGTACAGATTTTCTAAGTGTGTATTTTACATCTGTATCAATGAAAATACAGTTGTAGTTTTGGACTTAGATTATTTTTCATCACAAAATGTCTTGCTGAATATTTTCTAAGTGGCGCTTTTGTAAACACCGCGAGTTTAGTGATACCGCGAGATTAATAGCCCCGAGTATACATCTAAAACACAGGTCTTGTCTCAAAAATACACCTGTAAAATTGTTAAAATAGACCTGTATTACTCAGTCAAAATATCAGATTCAGCAAACACAGGTCTCTAAGACCTGTAATTTTTAAAAAAAACAGGTTTTTTTCAGTCGTTTTACAGCTGTAATACAGGAGTTTTTTTTCTACGGGAAGGAAAATCAATGACCCCGGGGCCGGGCCAATTTTGACCCTAGGGCTTTTATTTGAACAAACTTGGTAGACACCCATTAGAACATGTTTCATGCTAAATATCTTAGCTCTAGCTCTTTGGGTCCTTTAAAAGAAGATTTTTTAAGTTTTTACTATATGCACATAAGGAAAATCAAAGACACCCTGAGGCGGGCCAATTTGATCCCAGGGCTTTTATTTGAACAAACTTGGTAGACACTCACTAGAAGATGTTTCAGGCTTAATATCTTAACTCTAGCTATCTGGGTTTTTTCAAAGAAAGTTTTTAAGTTTTTGCTATACACTGTCATATAAGGAAAATCAATGACCCCCAGGGCGGGGCCAATTTTGACCCCAGGGCTTTTATTTGAACAAACTTGGTAGACACTCACTAGAAGATGTTTCATGCTTAATATCTTAACTCTAGCTATCTGGGTTTTTTCAAAGAAAGTTTTTAAGTTTTTGCTATACACTGTCATATAAGGAAAATCAATGACCCCCAGGGCGGGGCCAATTTTGACCCCAGGGCTTTTATTTGAACAAACTTTGTAGACAATCACTAGAAGATGTTTCATGCTTAATATCTAAACTCCAGCTATTTGGGTTTTTTCAAAGAAGATTTTTTTAAATTTTTGATATACACATACAATGAAAATCAATGACCCCCGGGGCGGGGCCAATTTTGACACCAAGGCTTTTATTTGAACAAACTTGGTAGACACCCATTAGAACATGTTTTATGCTAAATATCTTAGCTCTAGCTCTTTGAGTTCTTTAAAAGAAGATTTTTTAAGTTTTTACTGTATGCATATAGTGAAAATCAATGACCCCCTGGGGCCGGGCCAGTTTTGACCCCAGGGCTTTTATTTGAACAAACTTTGTAGACACTTACTAGAAGATGTTTCATGCTTAATATCTTAACTCTAGCTATATGGGTTTTTTCAAAGAAGATTTTTAAGTTTTTGCTATACACATATAAGGAAAATCAATGACACCTGTGGCAAGCCAATTTTGACCCCAGGGCTTTTATTTGAACAAAATTGGTAGACACCCATTAAAACATGTTTCATGCTAAATATCTTAGCTCTAGCTCTTTGAGTTCTTTAAAAGAAGATTTTTTAAGTTTTTACTATACACATATAAGGAAAATCAATGACCCCCGGGGCGGGGCCAATTTTGACCCCAGGGCTTTTATTTGAACAAACTTGGTAGACACCCATTAGAACATGTTTCATGCTAAATATCTTAGCTCTAGCTCTTTGAGTTCTTAAAAAGAAGATATTTTAAGTTTTTACTATATGCATATAGGGAAAATCAATGACCCCCTGGGGCGGGGCCAATTTTGACCCTAGGGCTTTTATTTGAACAAACTTGGTAGACACTCATTAGAAGATGTTTCATGCTAAATATCTTAGCTCTAGCTCTTTGAGTTCTTTAAAAGAAGATTTTTTAAGTTTTTACTATATACATACAAGGAAAATCAATAACCCTCTTGGGCAGGGTAAAATTTGACCCCAGGACTTTTATTTGAACAAAGTTGGTAGACACCCACTAGAAGATGTTTCATGCTTAATATCTAAACTCTAGCTATTTGGGTTTTTTCAAAGAAAGTTTTTAAGTTTTTGCTATACACATATAAGGAAAATCAATGACCCCCTGGGGCGGGGCCAATTTTGACCCTAGGGCTTTTATTTGAACAAACTTTGTAGACACTCACTAGAAGATGTTTCATGCTTAATATCTAAACTCCAGCTATTTGGGTTTTTTCAAAGAAGGTTTTAAGTTTTTGCTATACACATATGAGGAAAATCAATGACCCCCTGGGCGGGGCTTATTTTGACCCCAGGGCTTTTATTTGAACAAACTTGGTAGACACCCATTAGAACATGTTTCATGCAAAATATCTTAGCTCTAGCTCTTTGAGTTCTTTAAAAGAAGTTTTTTTACGTTTTTACTATATGCATATAGGGAAAATCAATGACCCCCTGGGGCGGGGCTTATTTTGACCCTAGGGCTTTTATTTGAACAAACTTGGTAGACACATATTAGAAGATGTTTCATGCTAAATATCTTAGCTCTAGCTCTTTGGGTTCTTTAAAAGAAGGTTTTTTAAGTTTTTACTATATGCGCATAAGGAAAATCAAAGACACCCTGAGGCGGGGCCAATTTGACCCCAGGGCTTTTATTTGAACAAACTTGGTAGACACTCACAAGAAGATGTTTCAGGCTTAATATCTAAACTCTAGCTATCTTGGTTTTTTCAAAGAAAGTTTTTAAGTTTTTGCTATACACTGTCATATAAGGAAAACCAATGACCCCCGGGACGGGGCCAATTTTGACCCCAGGGCTTTTATTTGAACAAACTTTGTAGACACTCACTAGAAGATGTTTCATACTTAATATCTAAACTCCAGCTATTTGGGTTTTTTCAAAGAAGGTTTTTTAAGTTTTTGATATACACATATAATGAAAATCAATGACCCCCGGGGCGGGGCCAATTTGGACACCAGGGCTTTTATTTGAACAAACTTGGTAGACACTCATTAGAAGATGTTTCATGCCAAATATCTAAGCTCTAGCTCTTAGGGTTTTTTAAGTTTAAGTTTTTCCTATTGGTTGCCATGGCAACCAGAGTTTTTAATGGAATTTAAATTTTTGAACAACTTTGGAAGGGGTCCACCTAAGGATCATTTCTGTAAAGTTTGGTTGCAATTGGCCATGTGGTTTAGGAGGAAATGTTGTTTGAAAAGTTTGACGCCATTTTCTGAAGGACGCACGACACACGACGGACACAGAGTGATGACAAAAGCTCACCCTTGAGTACTTTGTGCTCAGGTGAGCTAAAAAGGGGAATAACTGTGCCAAAAATATTTTAGGATTATCTGTTCCTTTGAAATGGCATCCTTTACTGAAATAAACATGAACGCCATGCCATGTTTGACGTGAAAAGCTGAGAAAATGGACCTTCATGAAAAGGTTAACCAACGCCAAAGCCAATGCCAATGAGTCTAATGTCATGGCAATAGCTCCATCTTTTTTCTTCGAAAAGTGAAGCTATTCATAATATGAAATTTGTATTACTCGCATAGATTACTTTAACATTATCAAATTTATTATTAAAGAGAAACAATTTTGATACTACTATTATAACTTTTAAGAAAAGAAATTGTAGTGATAATATTTGTACAGATAAAATTTGTCTATACTTACAATTCTTTTGCATTGACGCATTCCTGCAAGTAAAAGTTGATGATAAATGGTAGGGGTAAACCAATCACTTTCAAATAACCAAAATAAAAACAAAATCCAAACTAAACATTAACTTCTTTTATCAAAAGCACAAACTTTTTTTTTCAATAATCATTTGTTAATAGAACACAGATGCCCTCACCTAATATTTTTCAATTCACATTTGACAAAATCTAAATATGCTATTTTCTTTTTACTTCATCAGGGCCTTATTTCTGTATAGTTACTTTCTAGCTTAAATGTATTGGTTGAGGAAGACCTCAAGTGTCTTTGACCATGAATTATTTCAGGCACAAACAGCACCTGAGTAGTACCATTCCATAAGCTAGCTGGATAGCTTCCTCACATTATATTGTCTAGCAATCAGTGATCAAATGTTGCCTTATGATAGCATATTCAGCAGTTGTATTTAGGAGTGATTTACCAGCTTGTTCCCTATATGTCCATATAAGTAACATTATGCCCGTCCAAGTGTTAATGACCAATGAAAAGGTAAACATAATCCATGTGGCAGAAATTTCTATAAATATCACTCACAATGTATCAGTAAAATTCAATTCTTAAAAAGAGTGGGGCAAACTTTTTATAATATTAATATACATTGTAAGTTGTTTTTGTATTTTATCATTAATGTTTTTCATTATCAATTAACCATCAATCACCATTATAATAGACAATTTTTTTAAATATATTACTCTTTCCACTCAACTGTATAGTGAAAAATAAGCATAATGTCACTATCTTTGGATACCTCAATGTCAATTGTTTAAAAAAAGCTATCCGAATAACCGTTCTAATGAGATAAGTATCTGAGTAACCATTCTAATGAAACAAGTATCTGAATAAACGTTCTAATGAGATAAGTATCTTTATAACCGTTCTAATGAGATAACTATCTGAATGACTGTTATAATGAGATAAGTATTTGAATAACCATTCTAGAGATAAATATATGAAAAACTGTTCAAATGAGATAAGTATCTGAATAACTGTTCTAATGAGATAAATATCTGAATAACTATTCAAATGAGATAATTAAGTATCTTAATAACTGTTCTAATGAGATAAGTATCGCTGCCTCATTAAAAATGTTACCTCAATAAATTTGGCATCATTTTCTGACTGCACCAATTCTGTCACTGTTGTTGTGAGTAGGGCGTCTTCCCTCTCTAAAGCTACGACACTAGCTTGTAATGTATCTCTGATATGATTCAATCGTTCCTGCACATCCTGTCATAACACGTTAAATTTAAAATAAGAGAAAAATCAGAAATCCAAATAAAACAAGAACTGTCGGAGGACAGTGGGGCTCGACTATTCGAAAATTTGTCACAAGGGTGTTTCATTGAGTATAATAATGCTTACCTATATGAATACATAAAATTGTCCGAAAAGGTACAAACTCTTCAAGTTTCAATACATTCCCTTCAGTAGTTATGGAGATACAAGCTTACATACAAAAACTTAACCAAGATTTTCTAAGTCGAAAAAGGGGCATAATTATGAAATAAAACAATTCAGAGTTATGGGACTTGTACCAATCACCTTAGATTATCACAGAGACCAAGTGTGTGAAGTTTCAATCCATTCCCTTCAGTAGTTATGGAGATACCAGCTTACACGCAAAAACTTAACCAAAAATTTCTAAGTCGAAAAAGGGGCATAATTATGTTAAAAAGCAAATCCGAGTTATGGGACTTGTGCCAATCATCTAAGATAATCACAGAGAACAAGTGTGTGAAGTTTCAATCCATTCCCTTCAGTAGTTATGGAGATACCAGCTTACACGCAAAAAACTTAACCAAGAATTTCTAAGTCGAAAAAGGGGCATAATTATGTAAAAAAGCAAATCAGAGTTATGGGACTTGTGCCAATTGTCTTAGATAAACACAGAGAACAAGTGTGTGAAGTTTCAATCAATTCCCTTCAGTAGTTATTGAGATAACAGCTTACATACACAAACTTAACTAAGAATTTCTAAGTCGAAAAAGGGGCATAATTATGAAAAAAAGCAAAACAGAGTTATGGGACTTGTGCCAATCATCTTTAGATAATCACAGAGAACAAGTGTGTGAAGTTTCAATCCATTCCCTTCAGTAGTTATGGAGATACCAGCTTACATATACAAAAACTTAACCAAGAATTTCTAAGTCGAAAAAGGGGCATAATTATGAAAAAAAGCAAATCAGAGTTATGGGACTTGTGCCAATCATCTTAGATAATCACAGAGAACAAGTGTGTGAAGTTTCAATCCATTCCCTTCAGTAGTTATGGAGATACCAGCTTACATACAAAAACTTAACCAAGATTTTCTAAGTCGAAAAAGGGGCATAATTATGAAATAAAACAATTCAGAGTTATGGGACTTGTGCCAATCATCTTAGATAATCACAGAGAACAAGTGTGTGAAGTTTCAATCCATTCCCTTCAGTAGTTATGGAGATACCAGCTTACATACAAAAACTTAACCACAGGGACGCCGACGCCGACAAATGGGTGACTGCATTAGCTCGATTATTCTGCGAATAGTCGAGCTAAAAATTGTAATAAGCAATTTTTTGGCATTAACAAAGATATCTATCATAAGAATTTTTCTGGCATTTTTTCATCAGAATGAAATAAACTTACTTGGAATACTGTTATCAGACTTTGTTTTCTATTGCATGCATAATATCTACGAAAATAATATACCATCACTTTAGTACAGTAACAGGTTAATTTTTTATATATTTTAATAAGGAGTTAACATGTTACTGCACTGAGGTGATGAATTACATCCAAACAAAAGAATCATCATGATGATTATTTAATCTGATAAAATCAAACTAATAAGAGTAGAAGCAACTGAGTAGAAGCATCAATTTTCCATAGGCTAGCTGGTAACATTGCGATGCTAGTGGTTTGGTGTCAACAACCATAACCACTCCGCCAAGGATGTCCCCTAATTTCCTCACCTGCTGCAAAACAGAAAATGATAAGCATATGCCACTAGGATAGAGCAAAAACCAACTACAGTTAAATGCAGTCTTCGTAACCAAGCTCTATACATGCACTTGTTTAGTTGGTAGCCCAGCTTTTGTATATTTATACTAAAATCCCTTACACTTTGAATGGACTGTTCCAAATTCAATTTAGGGAAAATCCATTACACCAATTCAGCAGGTTAGAATAAAACTGCAAGACACAATTATAAAGATCTGTCTGGTAACATTACAGTATAAAACCAATATTTCTCACCTGATCTAAAACTTCTAACATTTCTGCTTCTTTAGTTATCAACAAATCATGAAATGACACAAATTCCTGTCTTATTTGTTCTTTTCTAAGTAATCCTGTCAACTGAAAAGAAAAAAAATTGGATAAAATAATTGTTAGTGACAATTGGATAAAATCACTGTTAATGGCAATTGGATAAAATAACTGTTCATGGCAAATAGATAAAATAATTGTAAATGGCAATAAGATAAAATAATTGTAAATGAAAATTGGATAAAATATTTGTTTATATAATTGTTAATGGCCATTGAATAAAATGATAATAATGGCAATTGGATAAAATATTTGTTAATGGCAATTGGATAAAATAATTCAATAATTGTGAATGGCAATTGGACAAAATAATTGTTAATGGCAAGTGGACAAAATAATTTGTTAATGGCAATTGGATAAAATAAGTCTTAATGGAAATTTGATCAAATAACTGTTAATGGCAATCAGATAAATCAATTGTTAATGGCAATGGGGATAAAATAATTATAACAGGCATACAGGGGTACAAGACCAAATATCGGGCCACTCTTAAAAAATTATCTGTTTGCTATTGCCGGCCGACCCAGCGAAAATGCCCCGACTCAAAAGTTTTTTTCAGCTTAAAAAAATCAGATTTTTTTTTTATTTCCGCCAAATCAGCCAGGGCATTCCACCTAAAAAATTCCCTCGAAAACAAAAATAAAATCGGAGGAAAATCACACATTTAATATGTAAAGTAACGAGTGATCATTCATGAGGGCATTCTGTGCGTTACTATTTAAAGTATTTACATAAACAGCGACCAAAACCAGGGAAGGATATTTTCCTTACGTCACGCAGTACTGCATGCGCGCGGCAATTAAGTTGAATTAACTAATAATAGAACGTATCAAATTAAGGTGTGGAACGGGATTAAAAATAATGTTTTTTTCAGTTAATGAATATTTGTAAAGCATTTATATGGTCACTAGTTTACCATGTGGTAATTTTAATGTGCTTTGGAGTACATGTTCGTTTGTTTAATGACTGCCGACACAGATTAAATACTTAGCCCATGCAATAAACGTACATTTCTGGTAGCAGCGGGGATTCTGTCATAAAATTGACCGAAAAAAATAATTTTTTTGGAAGCTGTGGTCATTTTCATATGCATTATTGTTTTGATAGCAGAGACACAAGTATTGCAAAATATCTTTCAAGATCATAAAAATGTAAATAAAATATCACAATCAAAATCACAGATTTACATATGTCTAATTAAACTCCATGTCAAAATGCACTTAATAATAATAATAATATGTCAATAATTGACACGATAAATATCCAACATTTTTTACTTGAGCAATAATTAAACATGTGTAATCATTCCTTGACAAAAAGAAATGACAGTTTTTTTCTGATATATACAAAAGAGGTGGAAGTCAATTGAGTGTCGGCATTTCTTTGATGATTTCGGCAACAACTACAGGTGTGTAAACATCAAAGATTCACAGATTCTTTCAGAAGAGCCGACCAGTCATTTGTCAGAGGTTCATTTTCGTGTGTAAAATTTTGTATTTATTATTTAACTAATGGTAAACATTATATTCCTTTTATTTATGGATGCTACTTTTTGCACGAGTTGTTTTTGTGTCTTTTAGCGCTACTGGAATTTCAACAATCGGCGATAATTTTCGGTAACTAACAATTAAATATTTTAAACGACCCGCCATTTCAGAAATTATCGGAGACAAATCTTGCGTGTGTTATTTTTTACAGACGTGTAATAAATTGAGTAATGATCATGCATCCGTGAGAACGAAAATGTCCTGGTGATCCACTATAATTTTTCCAGTTCGTACGGGAATATTTTACGCAGGATTAGTTAATCACATCGGTAATTTGACCATGCTTGAATTTATGTCCACATAGTCATTTTTTTTTTTTTCATGTTATGATTACTAGTGAACATGTTTTTTATTGTTTTTGTCTTTTACATGTTAGTTTTTGCCGATGATGATAGTGTAGCCCCAAATTTTCCACAATCTGTTACAACGTACTAAGGCGTATTAACTTACGTTCAGTTAAAATTATATATCAAAAAAAAAAAAGAAAAGCCTATCTATTGACCCACTCCTTATAACTCTGGGTCGGCAATAGCAAACATATATATTATTAAGGATGGCCTCGGTCATCAAAATAGGAAAAAAACACTCTGAGATTTAATTAATAGATTTAAAATCAATAAGTTAAATTCCATGATAATACAAGTACCTCAACTTGATCATATTCCTTTTCCACCATCTCTTTGTATCTTCCCAGAAATGCCAGCTTCGTAGTTGCTCTTTCTAATTCTTCCACCAACAGTGTCTGCAAATGACGAAAACTTCATAAATGTCACACTAAAAGCCAACTATAGATACGGATATGAATAATTTACAGAAAGTTTGATATTCATTGGGAAACCTGGTTTTAACAGATTAATTTGATACATGTACATGCGTCTTTTTATGGAAAAAACTAAGCTAAAAGTCAACTGAATGAATGTTGGTAAAATAGTAATTTTTGAGTAAATACAGATTTCTGTGGCTTTAATTCAAGCTCCTGATCAATTAGCCTATTCTGCAGACAGAGAAATAAAATTTCTTATGTTTATATCATTAACACTTACCTTTTCTCTTTCGATATCAGCTCCACTCACTTTTCCCTTAAAATGGAGAAAACATTTTGTATTGGCACATTCAGCACACCTTTTCTGCTCACAGTAGGAGCAAAATAATTGAGCTACTAGACCATGCTCCTCACATTTCTCATGATGTTCAACAACAACTCTACCATCTAACAGAATTACTTTATGTGATTTGAATGGTCCACGATTTGGATGAAGATTTGTACGACACTCAATGCAGTAAAAGAATTTACAATTGTTGCAGGTAAACATGGCAGACTTACAAGGATTACAAAAGTCGCAAAGTCCTGAGAAATTATCTGAAGCTTTTTCTACAGAGGAAATGGATGTATTTTCAGGTTCAATAGGTACTTCTTCTAGTTTAATAAAGAAAGGGTTAAACTCAGCTATCTCTGCCTTTTGACTAATTCCCTTGTTTGAAGTACCAACACAATCTTCTAATGGCTCCTCGGGTACATGATCTTTCGGACTAAAATCTTCAATATTATCTGCAAAATCATTACTGCAATTCTTATTTTCCTTAAAAGGTAAATGTAAATCATCTCCAGATTTTCCATCAGCACCACTTTCATTTTGTTCATTATCTATTTCATTACACAATGATTGTTTTGTTTTAACTATGATAGTTTTACTTTTTAACATATCTGAATTTGAATTTTCACCAACACAAACCATTTCGCTTAAGTTATTATTAGTATCAGAGACACAATCCTTGGAATTCAAATCATCTGGTTCTGTCTTAACACTAATTTTAGTTATCTGTTTCTTACATTTTTGCACCGTCTCTTTGAATTCCGGTTTATTTTCATCTTCACTACTTTCAGTTGGATCATCGCTATTACTTTGGTAATCTTTCGCACTATTTTCCTCAGCCTCACTATCTGATTTAGTGTCATCAAATATCTTTACATTTCCTTTCCACTTACATCCATACTTTTCATCTTTGGGTTCTGTAGTTTCCACTCCACCTACAGTATCATCAACTATATTGATATTCCCTTCACTCTCCATTATTTAGGAAGAAATGTTGTGATATTCTGGAAATAACAATGTAAACAATTCAGCAAGTTAAAACATATACAATTGGTTAATCCCTTACAATACCATATATCAGGTTATTTTTTAATACGGCAGGTTATTTTTTAATACAGCATACATTGTATTTCACGATTCTGGCAGTAATATGATTTTAGCAAATCTGGTTTAAGCGATTTCGTTGTAATGTTTCTCTTTTTTTTGCGTTTTTTTGTGACAAAGAGAGACCACTCTTTTTGTCAGAGATTTATTATTTTTATTGTTATTTATAATGTTCAAGTAAACATCTGTTTAAATTTTCTTATTGATATACATGTATTGCTTACAAGTATGTATACGATATTGCACACTTTTTGTCTCGTCTTACCTTATAGTTTACATGTTATTGTTTACCTGCCTTTGTTTGTAAATCTATACTTGCAAGGTGTAAATATCTTATTATATCGGGCAAACAGTTAAATAGTAGTCACTTAAGTTATTTATGTACACCAAAAACATTTAATTCTAAACAAACATGAATATCGAAAATTGATATTTGACAAATTAACTTGTAAGTACCACAATGCAAAATACATATAACTAAACTGAATAGCAAATCTAAAGCAGAAAATAAAGTTCCAGAAACTTGCAAAAACCCAGTATTAAATTGAAGAAATACTTATCAAATTTATTTTTCATGATATTCATTGCCTGTGAATATAGCAAAATTAGATACCTGCAAAAAAACCCTGATATACGTATATGAGTATAAAGTATTACAATACAATAATGTTTTACTTTAATCTCTTCATTTTAATCTCTTTAAAGTGAACAGGTCTATAATGACAGGCCAGCAATACAATAAATTTTTACAATGATAGAAATAACAATTACATAACAACAAACACTGAAAGAAGGCTCTTCAAAGAAAACAGCCATTTTTAACAATATGCTCATTCAGTAATAGATTAAAGTATACAAGATGAAACCTTGATATAGGAGACATAAGAGACTTCAATTGAACAGAATATTATACATTTTTTCAATACAATTGTATACAACTTTTGAGAGTATTAATTGGGACATTTTTAACTGGTTTAAATGACTGGGTAAAACTTTGTTATGATTTATTTTATCTACAATGTAATAGATGTATAAACATGTACCATACAATAAGACAAATGCAATATTAAACATGGTTTACCTAGTATTTGAGTGATAAGAAAGTATGATCATATCCTATAAATGTAAAATATTTTATTACTACAATTTCATGTGTGCATAAATGACATTTCATATCGCATTAGATTACCATACACATAAAGAGACATTTATGTTATCTTAAAGGGAGACACAGGCAAAATTTTCATTTTTCGTTCACAATTTTTCATTCATTATTATGTAATTGTCCTCAAAATGAATATACTAGGCAGTCACAGGAACGAATCATTTCTCATTACAAAGTATTAAATGATGTTTTTTTTTTACTTGACCCACGTGGGTCAGGTTAGATAGTTAAGATTTCACAATAGATGTCACAGTAACATTGGAAACTGTAAAGAACATGTCAAATGAATGACTTTTACTTGTTTCAATCATACAATATCCACAATATCTGTTATTGTAACTTCCAGGGTTTGTTCAAGGCACAAAACTTACTTTAAAAGTACTTGGTGATTCTGTCGGCTTCTAAATTTCGTTCAACATCTATAAATATATTTATGCTTCAAACCCAAAATATATAAAATTTAAGACAGAAATTCATGCTGGAATTTTAAAAAGTGCCATTTTAGAGTGATTTGAGAAAAAAAAAAAACATAAGATTATTTTTATATTTTTGTAATTAGTTTGCCTGAGTATCCCTTTAAAGATATATACTTCCTTAAAGAAATAATGAAATATAGCATGATAAATCTTAGTGTGGTATTTATTATTTTTCCTGTTTTAAATTTATATAAACAGAAATGAAGAAGAATGTTAAAGCCTCATGAAAGTTAACAATAATAATTTCATCTCAGGATTTTTACATAATACAGTACACAAGAAATCATCATTTATTCATTCATTCAATTCATTCATGAGCAAGAAACTTTACACTCATCATATGGGATGTCACGGTTAGCAAACAATGTTCAACAGAGTCTTAATAACATTAAAAGTTTAACTGACCATACAAAAAGAATTCTTTGATTTTTAACATTAACTATTTTATATTATATAAAAATAGCATATTTTGCGTGCATTTTATTGTACTCAACAACGATTGCAAAACATGTTCTATTTTTAAATAACTGTTGTTTGTTTGTTTCATTTTACGCCTTTTTCAACAGTATTTCAGTCATATAGGCGGGTAGTTTCCTAACCATCGTTCCTGGAGAGTTACACCAGTACTAGACTACCTTCCTCCGCGCTAAACTACCAAATCATCTCCCGGGGATCGAACCCACGCCAGAAAGATAACTGGATTAGAAGTCATCGACTCTAACCCCTCGACCACGGAGGCGGTCAACTGTTTAAATGGATTAATGTGACACCCCTACTCAATCATTCAGTACTTATTGGTACAAGGAAAAAGATTCAAGACTATGTCTATAAGCTTATACAGCTTCCTATACTAAAATAAATTCTTTATAAAGTAAGACACTTTCTTATTATTAATCACTTTATAAAAATTTGATATGAAAGAAAGTTTTTCACGTTGGGTTGTAACTAATTCAGACCAAAACATATCAACAAGTCAAAACCTTATATCAATCTGTTATGACAATTTTTTGAAATATTGACAAATTCAATTCATTGATACATTTATATCTAGTACTATTTACCTATAATTCACTTTCATACGTGTTTTTTTTTTATTTCAGTAAATCTGTATAAGTTGTTAAGTTAGCAACAAGGAAATATTTGCAAATTTAGGGAATTGACAAAAATTGCTGAAATTTCCTCTAGCATACATATCAACCAACCTATCATTAAATAGTACCCTTGTATTTTCTCATGCAAAATGTCTGGAATTTACAATCCGCTAACTTTTCATCATACAGAAATATCCAATTATACAGTACATATTCTGCACATTTAATTATGATGTGTGATTGTTAATATTAACAACTGCATAATGTGCGACAAGCCTTTTTAACACTGTAACTGTTTCCAGTCATATTTTTGGTGAATTGTTGTTATTAATTAATTAATAAGTCAAAATAATACATAAATATTGTTTCTATCAATGACAGCTCAGTGTTTGGCTACCAAATCCAAATCCACCGATAAAAAGTTTTGTTTTTTTAAAAAATCCACTATCAAAACTGTAGTTAATATAGACTACACATGTATATCACTATAGTTTTGAAAAAGGATTTTTTTGTTTGTTTTTTAATCGGTAGTTTTGTATTTGGTGGCCAAACACTGATACTGCCATCTGTGCATACATGTGAACACTCCTACCTTTAGCGGAAGATTCCCACTTTCTGCAGCCTTATTTTCAAAGATTTTCCTTAAAATAAGGGGTATTTTCACAAATTAAAGAAATTTCCCTATTTTTGATGTCAGAACTTCCTTCTTTTTTATTGCAAATTCTAAAATCTCCCTCTTTTTGAAGAAAAATCTCCCACTTGATCATCGAAAAAAGTTCATATGCATGCCTGAACTCCGGATGAGCCAAAATATTTCAAGAATATCAAACTTATGAACATTGAATCTACACAGAATTTAAAAGTCAATCGCTATAAGATTAAAGTATTAATTTTTTAAAAAATTCACGAAAATAAGCATGAGTCTAGACGCATGCTGCTTTAAAAGTCCAATACACACATTGACAGTCTCTTTATGATCTACGTAAATACTAAATGTATTTAATTTTACAGCTAAAGCTATCACAGGTCAGATCATTTTACATGCGTTTTATACAGTGAGATAGGCAACAGGTTATTTTTACTAGCAATTCTACTGATAAGAATAGCCTGTCGTCTGCTAGTTCGGAAACTGTCATTGTATATATCATTGCCATCATATCTAGACAGTATTAAGTTCTCCTTTAATCCCGTTTATTCAAACGACTCTTTTTTATTTTTACATGAAAATATTTGATAGAGTGATCCACTTTACATGACAAATCAATACAACTGGTTCAATTTTCCGAAAATGAAACGCTGAAAAAAGAGACCACAGTATAGAGAAGAGCTGTTAGTTTTACTGTTAGATCGGTGAAACAATATTTCAATTTATTTGTCAAACTACTAAATCAGAATACTCACATAAAAAGAATTTATCAACAAAAAAATGAAGATTTTCTTACAATTACTGAAACAAATCTACCTTATACAAATTCGCCTAGTATGCCTGTTTGTGCACGTCCACTTTCGTTTTAGTGTAGGGCGTCTAGTGTTATAGGTATACAAATGGCGTCATTTAAGAAAGGGAAGTAACTTGTATGCACGGCAGTCCTATCCATCGGTGTTCGTGAATAACGGCAATATTGAGATTTACAAATAAGTATAGACATGTTTCCAGTGCGATAATTAATCCTGTAATGTAAAAGATGTTTCCCAGTAACCTGCGAAGTTGATGCAAAATAAGTACATGTATTTTTTTTATTCATAAGATTTGTACAAATTGTACAAATTTTCAAACACCTCAATTAAACTCAATTTTTCATATCTTGAAAATAGAACACAGTTTGTCAAATATGGAAATAGTCATTCAAATAGTGGAACAGTGAAATCAGGGGTCCCTCCAGGGTCTATATTAGGCCCTTTACTCTTCATTTTCTAAGTGAATGATTTGCCATTTACGACATTTAGTACAACACACTCTAACATAGACATGCATGCTGACGATACTACTATGTATGCATCAAATAAAAAAATTGAACTCTGCAATGTGATGTTGATAATATAAATAAATGGTGTAAAACTTTCATAAGTATATTTTATAAAGTTTCAAATCTTAGTGTGAGAATACATGTAGTAGCCTCAGGACGTGTTACAGTATCGCGTTTTCCGGTTACAGTATAGAATTTTCAAGATGGAGGATTATTTATGGGAAGAGAGGTAGGTGATTTTTATTCTGGTCCATACTACAAGTAGTTAAGTTTCTAAAAGATGTTTTTGTGCTTTGCTTGTAAGGAATAGAATCCGGTATCTAATCATATATTTCTTCAGACCCTGCATCGCAGATTTATCTCTATATTATTAATTGTCTCATAAATATGCAGATTTGACAGTTTGAAAATTTGAATCGAGAGACCAACGCATTTTCTCCCATTCTGACATTATTTATGCATACCTAGAAAAAGTAAATCTGTAAAACGTTAGTCCTTTATGTTAGGAAACGTTTATAAAAGTAAATGACCAGTTGAACCTATTTTCCTGTTCGTTAATTGTGTTTGATAAAGTAAACAATATGTAACAGTATACAGCGCGAAGTGATTTGTGAAGGGTTACAGCATAGACCTAGCGATTTTTATCCGATTTTGTTACAGTTTTTACCCAGATTTCGGTTACAGCTTAGACTTCAATATTTTCTATATATACTAGGTAGAATGTATGAATGTTACATAGACTTTTAAGTCTCTGTGAGCTTATTGGCCCGATGGCTATTCGTCCGTCTGTCGTACACATGTGTGTGCAATCTCATCCGCTCAATATAACTACTTGACTAAATGTGATGGAAATTTACATGACTTTCTACCAAAATTGTTCTAAAATAAAATGGTTTCGGTTGCAATCGGGGATACGAAAACCCAAAACATAGATTTTGAAAAAAGACAATGTTTAAATATCCTTCTTATCTCGAACCAAAAGCATTCAAATCAAAGTATGATCATGGCGTCAATTCGAATGCTTCTTTGTTGAAGTTACTATTATTTTGTCCTTATAAAATTAAAAGCCGTTTTTTTATTTCAGACATTCTGTATAGAAGTTTTCATGTTTCTGAAAAAGAAAATAATATTGAAAGTTATAGAGTATAAATTAAGGTCAGACAATTACAATATCTTCTCCAGTGAGCCTGATGGAGGTACATAATCGTCGCAGAGTTGGGATAAGGCCGTCGACTTCAAATCATCTTTCTTTTACTGCTGTCGTTGAAATCCCGTCATGACGTTGGATTCTTTGTACGTGAGGAAGCTATCAAGCTAATTAACGGAAGGTCGGTGGTTCTAGTCAGGTGCCCGCTCGTGAAAAGTTTCACAAAGGGTATATCTAGGGTCTTTCTTTACACTTAAGCAGGCATGTTTTCACATGACCTTAGTGTCGTTGAAACTTAAAATCCAAGAAAGCCAAACGTAACAAATCCTTTTTAAATACTTACTAAATACATTATTGTAGATGGAAATTCCAACTTAAAATAAAATTTAAGGTTGCAGTATTTCTCACTTAAATTAGGGTACGTATCGCCTGCTTTTTAACTGTGTCTTTTTACAGCTTATCTGTGGTATGCAGGCTTCATTACCTCCGATCCCCTCTCAAAATTTCATTTTATTTAGTTTCACTCATTGTATTCTCGTTTAGGGCACACGCAATTTTTAACCGGGGGTAATATGCGCTTGTCATAGAATGGCAATAACGTGTCACATTGAAGGTTCCATGATAACCGCCATATGAACACATCCACAGATGTTAAAAATCTAAACTTTACCACTTCATGTTTAATGTGAATTCTGCTGAGCAGTGCTAGGAGGCACTGGACGGTAGCTTGCAGTTACCCACTACCGTCCATAGAACAGGTTTCAGTCAAAATGACACCCTGCAACATTTTCATGTTTTCTGTGTTGGACTTCTGTTAAGGGGAATTCTTTTTCCTCTGTTTATTACTAATAGGCTTTATTATTAATGTGTAATGAAATCAAGCAATAATCTTTCATACAATTTGATAAAAGTTACTGTTGTTGTCGGGAAAACAGTCCTTACTTAGGACATACTTATTCTGAAAAAAGTCTCAATCTGGAACTTAAAGTAAGGAAAATAGCAAACTATAACTTTTCTGCTGAAGAAAAAAAGTAAAACAACCTTTCAAGAATGTATTAAATAGAAAGGTATGAGTTATTTCATAAAAATAATGGATACACGAACTTTGTTTGAAATTAGGCAAGTATCTAAACTGTTACCGAAATCTTGATATAAATTGCCAGTATTCAATTTCTTATTAAAACAATGCGATTTGTGGTGACATACGGGTTTTATATTACAGTTCCATTGTCAAGCTTTGTAATAGACAGATACAGCTGTAGAATATCGACTATGCTTTCTGGAATACTGTTTACTGAGGGATACTCGGGTACAGCGTTCTCTCCTAATATTCCTATAGCCATCTTCACCTTAGGACTCATTCCAGGTTGGAACTTTCCGTCAAATATATATCTATGTTAACATGTTATATAACAGCTGTGTAAACTATGTTGATGTGGAAGGACACTCAAAACCTGTCTTTTCAATTTTGATATGTCTCTAATGCTCACTAAATTTTTTATTTTTGGGTTCTAGATGATTTTAAATTTTGCAAAAAAGCACAAAAAACTCTAGATTCAATATCATTAATTTTAAACTTTAATCAAATAAAAAAAGGGAACCAACCAGATTTTTTACCCTTTATAAATGTTAGTAAAAGGGAAACCGTTTGGGTACGTAAGCCTCAAACCTTGAAATCCTTTGTAAAATAAAAAAATTTTAAAATAGTGAAAAAGGTAAAAAGAATGACTCCACCCCCAAAAAAAACCACTTTCCCCAAACCAAAATTACCCCAATATTATGTATTTTTTCGATATATGATTTATTTTGGGTTTTTTTTAAAATTTTTTTTTTCGGGACTGGGGCCGGTCTTGGCTACACGTTTATTTGGGGTTTGTAAAAAGGGTTCAATTTAAAAAAAACCCCGGAAGTCCCCGGCATTGGGATTTTTTTTATTTTTCCGGAATGGGACCGGCCCTTTTGCGTTTGCCCGTTGTTTGCAACTTGCACTTTAATTCATTTGAAATCCCAACGAGATTTTTTTTTTACTCAAGCTGAAAAGTTTTTAAATTTTGTTAGATTTTGGAAACCAAACAATTTAAGTAAACAAAAAATGTTTACTGAAAAAAATTGGGGTGGTACAATTGTCTAAAAAAGTTTTCCCTAGATTTGGGAAAATATTATAGAGCTTTATTAAATAACCAATATTTCTTTTAAAATTTTTAAAAAATTTTTTTAAAACTGTCTTGGGGTACTTTGATTTACCAAAACCCTATGGGTTTGTCATACCCGAAAGGTTTTTTTTAATATCCATGAAATCTATATTGTATCACTGGAAACATATTTAAAATGCAGTACCCGTTTGGTCTGTTTTCCCAAACTTTGAAATTACTTACGGTGTCTGTGAATTTTTACAAAATGATGGTTTTTTACATATTTTTTAAACCCCAGCAATTGGGTGTTGGCACTTTTTGGGGGGGGAAATTTGGTTAAAAGTGCTCGCCCAAGGGGTTTTGCGGGTTTAAGGGAGAATTTTAATTTTTAGCAATTCAGCTTTAATTTTTTGCATAATTTTTTCTAGCCCATTTTGGGTTGAGGGAAATTCGCGTTTTAAACCATTTTCGGAGGGAATAAAACATGCAATTCATATCAAAATTAATACAGTTATTTTTTTACAATTTTAAAGGTTTACTGAAAAGAAAACTAAGGGTTCTTTAGACAAATCAATGACTTTTGCGGAAATTTTGGGTTTTTATAATCTGTTTAAAATTTTTTCGTGTTTTTTTTAAGGGTTCTTTAAATTTTTGTTCTGTGTTGTTGGGTTTTTTTTGGCCCCAACACTGTAAAGGGTCTTTTTGGCGATTTCCTGGGCTTGACTTTTTTGGGAAAATCCCTCAATCAATTTTTAGATATTACAAGTTTACTTAAATATTTACCTTACATAGTTCCTTAGGCTTCACAGTTTTCTCCCAACGGGGAGACCCCGGGTTTTGTCATCTGACTTTGGGAAATTTTTTAAAGAAAAGTGACCAGACATCTTGGGGTATTTGGGGGTTTAACATTAAAAACCCTTTTTAAAAATTGGTTTTTGCAATTTCATTTTTAATATCAGTTTCTTTAAAATTTTATTGGTGAAAAATTTTTTAACTAAATGCATTTTCAAAAAAAATTTAATTATTAACAAACAATTTTGCAGAGAGGGGATGTTTTTTTCAATTTAAAAAAATATTCTCACCCCAAAGTGCCAACCCTTTTTTCCCGATTTTTTGATCCCAATCCCTTTGAAAATGGTTACAAAATAGAAATGGAGGTTCAAAAAAAGCGCCCAAGAAAATGTAAAACGAATAAATTGTAAAGCCTCGGGTAAATGGAACAAATTTTTAAAATTTTAAAATTCATAGGTTCTTTTTGCAATTTCCAAAGATTAAAAAAATAGAAAGTCACTGAAAAATCAACAGCTGTCAAAAAAAGTAAAAATTTCCAAAAAGACATTAAAAACAAAAAAATCTTTTCTTTCATTTGTTACAAATTTTTGTAAAAACTTTTTTAAGTAGATTTTAGGGGAAAGTGTGAATTTGCTCGACATTTAAATTGTAAAAAAATTAAAATATTTTTTTTTGGCCATTGATGAACAACTTCTTGAAACCCCGTAAAGGGAACCCTTTTGAAAACCCCCGTTTTAAATTGTCCTTTTTTTTAAATTTTTCAAAATAAACTTTTCCACAAATTTTTCCCCAAAAAAATTTTTACATACCCTTTTGCATGTTTTTTCTTTTTAAATTACCCCAAAAATAAAATTTAAAAAAGAAAATATGTTAATTTTTAAATAACTCTCAAAATTGGTTTCCATGTAAATTTTACTTTTGGAAAAAACCCCTATTTTTCAGGGAACGTGAAAAATTAAGGAAAACTTTAAAATAGCCAATATTTTTTCAAAATAAAACCGATTTTTAAAAAATGGTATTTAGTATAAAAAAAAAACTTAAAAAGCGTTAAAATTTTTTTTTTTTTATCAGTAAAGTTATAATGTACATACATTAAACATTTCAAAATTTTCTTATTTTTTTGGTTTTTTTGTTTTTGTTGTTTAAAAGGGTTTGTGGTTTTCCAATTTTTTCCCGTGCTTCCCTTTTCCCGTGCGACCAAAAAACTTTAAACTTTTGATTTTTTTTTTTAAAAAAAGCATTAGGGCCATTAAAAAAGGGAATAAAACCCAAACCTCCAAAATTTCCACGCAAGGATAGGCTTAGGGGCCAAGGTTTTTGATTCGGGCCCATTGAAAATCCAGAAAATTAAATTTTTTCCCCTCCAATTTAAACATGTATTAAAGCTGTAAAAAGTGTTTTACAACCCAAAATTCTGCTGAGTAATATTTCTTTTAAATGGGGGTTACTTCACAAAAAATATTTTTGGAAATTTTTTTGGAAATTAAATTGAAGGGTTTTATTCTGAACTACAAAAAATGGGAAAAAGATTTAAATGAAAAACAGCCTTTTTTTTAAATTGCTCCCTTTTTTAAAATAAGAAAAAACAGAATAGAATGGGGTTTTTTAAAATGTTAAGAAAAATTTTCAAAACTTTGTCTAAATTTAAATAGAACAATTTTTTAATAGTTTTTTAAATTAAAAACCCCTTTTTTTTTTCATATTTTCTAAAACAAAAAAAACTTTTTTAAAAAATGGGGGTTTTTTTTTAAATTGTTTAATCAATTTGTTTTCAAAAGGTAAAGGGGGAAGGGGGGGGCAAAAAAAAACACAGTAAAAAAACCCATGCCCGGCTTTTAACCCTGAGAGAGTTTAAAATTTACCAAAAACAAAAAAAACATTTGAATTTTGAATAACAGGGAATAAAAATCTATAATAAAAAAGTTTTTCCCCTGGTCAAAAAGCATGCCCTTTATAATCCTTAATTTTGCCAAATTTTTAGGTGCCCCTGCCCAAAACAGCCCAATTAAAATTTTTAAGGTTTTTAAAGGTATTAAAAACAGTGTAGACCCCTTTACTTTTAATCTGATGAGGGTTTTTAAACATTATTAAACCATTTATATACTTTATTTTAATTTTATTTCTCCCTTTTTGATGGTGTATAGTCGAATTATTAAATGCAAGTTACTTTTAAATCATTTAAAAATTTAAAAAATTTTATTTTTCTTCATAATTTTTCAAAAAAATTTGCAAATTTGTTTTTAATTTTTAAAATTGCAGAAATTGTTAAAAATCGAAAGCACTGTTTTTAGTTTGAGATAGTTCCCCTTAAAACCCAAAATTATTATAAAAAGGTTACCTCCCCAAATTTTTAATTCGAATACTTTTTGCCAAAAAATTTTAAATTAAAGGGTTTGGCCTTTTTGGGAAAGGGCCCGGAAAATACAATGAAAAAATTTCCATAACAGTAAAAAAGTTTTAAAAACATAATAACCAAATGGAAAAATTTCTTTTTATATAGAATTTGTTTGGAAAAGTTGGAAATTAATTAGAAAACCATAATTTTTTTTAAAATGGGGTTATATTTCATATATTTTATACAGCAGATAATAAAATGTTCTAGAACAAGATATAATTATTCATTATATAAGTGTTTATTCTGCTTCACTTGGAACTTTATCGATAATATTTGCAAGCAACTTTTCATAATTTTATAAGAATATCCAAATGATACATTTTTATTGTTTTTTATCAATATTTGTAATAATTACGAAGATGGACCTATCTATTGTGAACATATTTGGCCCTGGAATAAAAACAAAACTTTTAATCACACATGTATTTACATGTAATTGAAAAATCTCTTATTTTCAAATACCAAGTGGAACAAAATTATTTGCATTCTACTGACTATTACTTTGATATTAGCCTAGGATCCGGGCGTTCATATTTTTTGCTTATTCATAACATACGCGCTATTTCATACTCGACCGTGTTTTGATAATATCATTGCCGAACAGAAGCACATAAAAACTGACAGACTGGAACCCAGGCTACTTTGATATTTGCAAAGTGCTGTTTTTATTATAATTTCAGTCGAGCTGATGTAGTATTTTATTTTGTAACTATATTCTTAAGTTGCCCAAGGCAATTCTTAATATTAGTATTGAACAACTTAAAGCTACTTGTATTTAATTGAACATACTGTAAACTTTCACTTTGATTCGGTTCAAAAAGTATAGCTTATTCGTTGAGAGAGTGTTAAATATATTTTGTATTGATTGTTACACTTAAACATAAAATTTACTACCGGGATTTCTTGATTGTAGATTTAATTCGTACATTTCCCTTTTATTGATCCAAAATTTATTCTTTTTTAAAAAAAAAACAGGGATTTTAAATTTTTACAAGTTTTTTATTTTGGTTAAAAAGATTTGGAAAGTTTTCGCTTATTTTAAACTTCATTTGGAAAAAATTTATAGAATTATTTTTTTTCGTTTTCAGTTTGTATATGTCCTCAAGGTTTTTGTTATACGAGCGGAAAATATAATGAAGCAACGACACATGTGAAAATGCAAGAAAACATGTTATAGTAGGAATCGTTGTTAAATCTTTGGATACGGGGGTCTTGGATGAAATTTTTACAAGCTTGGGCATTTTCTTAATTGGGTAACATTATGGCGTAGGTATAATGCACGCGGTTCTTCTGGAAAGATACAGGGAGAGCGTATCCCTTACAGCTTGGGCCGGTTCACTTCAGACAGCGTTCATGTCTCTCGGAGGTAACTTTTATTTTCTTATTATTTACGTAAGTATATTCAAATCATAATATATGAGTATATGATTGTTTATAAGTCGAATATCGAACAACTATATCCATTCCCTTGTGTGATTTTTTTTTTTTTTTTTTTTTTTTTTTTTGTAACATTGTAGTTTGCGTAACATGATGATGAAAATCACGAATGGAAATATTTATCTATCTATTTATTTTAAAACCTTTAAATTCTTTTTTTTTTTTCGTTGTTACAGCCCCTCTATCAAGTTTTGTTGTAGATCGATTCAGCTGCCGGACAGCCGTTATGTTATCAGGAATGCTGTTTACAGCTGGGTATTTGGGAACAGCGTTTGCACCCAATATTCAAACGGCTATCTTCACACTGGGTTTCGTCGCAGGTATGATTAATTATTATGGTAACAGGGGATTTTGAACCCCTCGCGAAAAATGGAAACTTGCAAATATGTCGATTTGTATTTTACACGTTCAATGTATTAGCTAAACATATTTTAGAAGGCTACAAATGTGTGCACCGGTGAATTGTTTGTACATTATTTTTCAGGTTGCGGAGCTGGTGTCGGTTATACTTCTAGTATGGTTGTAATTGGATTCAATTTCAAAAGAAAACGGCACCTGGCTTTGGGTTTTGTACTTTCTGGAATGGGAGCTGGTCTCTTTGCGCTTGCGCCGTTGATGCAACTTGCACGTGATTACTATGGATCAACCGGATTCTTTATTATACAAGCAGCGATGGCTTTGAATATTATAGCATTTGGCGCAACATTTTTCCCAAGTAAACTGGAACTTCATACACAAGAAATGCGAAGAGTTTGTAAAAAGGAATGCCATGAAACTCAGACTAAGCCAACGAATGTCTCTACACTTTACTTTAAAGCTTTGCTTAATAAACCAGTTATTTTTCTAAGCGTTGGGATGTTTTTGAACTGTTTCGGGTCACACATTATATATTTGCATTTACCAATATATGTTGTTTCAAAGGAATTCACACAAATGCAAGCGTCATTTGTAGTCTCACTTGCAGGTATATTAGCCGTCGTGGGTCGTCTGATAACCGGATTTGTTGCCAATTTAAATATTATAAAAGATATATGGCTATATTCAGGATCATTAGGAATCGTTGCAGTAGGTACTATAGTGTATCCTCATATTTCGTCTATACTAGCTGGGCATATCATATATTCAATAATATTTGGTTTGTTTTTCGGAAGTTGTTATGTACTTATGACATCAGTAAATGTCCATTTTGTTGGTATAAATTTTGTGTCTGCAGCTATTGGTGTCGAATTGTTCTTTGGTGGAATTGGTGCTGTTTCCGGGCCAGTATTTGCAGGTGATAAAATCAATTTTCTAACATAAATTTTTACATGACTTTATTATGAAATATGTACATATAGATTATACTTAAATATTTTCATTTCTTTAAATTTAAAAACGAAATCTTTGATTATATTTGTTTCAGGTATACTAGTTGACATTGGAGGCACATACGAGCAATCAATTACATTTGCAGGTACTGATATACTTGCGTTTCTACTTTCATATAGGAATAATACATTGAATACAAAAAGAAAAATGTTTTCTGCATTCAAATCTAGTTCAAACATTATGTTCTATATGGGCGCAAACAAATTTTGTTACATTATGTACAACACAATGTTAAAAGCTCTACAAAATTGTCATAAAAGTACAGAACTCATTTGAAACTAAAGTTTTTAATGGTTATATTTTCAGGGATTTCTATTTTCCTGGCAGCATTATTAAGCGCACTGACTGTCTGTTTCAATGCTCCTTTTAAATATGAAGACGTAACAAGAATTGAAAACGTGGTTCCGGAACCAAATGAAGGTGTACCTCTAGTGATCGGGAATAACCACGAAGACATCACTTCAATATGAGTATTATTAAAATGCAAAACATATTTATATATTTGTCATCGTAACATGCTTTATACCAACCTGTTAATTGTTTGAATGTTATATAATTATAGTATCTAATATTAAATTACAGAACAAGAAAAAAAGACTTCTGTTTATTTAATAATATGAAAGAAATATGTCTCTATAAATTTGATTTTTCTCCTGAATTATCAGCGTTTTCCTGGTAATTTTTCTCAGCATGATATTAAACCTTTTAATTAAGAAGTCAGACTAATACGAATTATGATATTGAGGTAGTATATGAGCCGCGCCATGACAAAACCAACATATTGGGTTTTGGACCAGCATGGATTCAGACCAGCCTGCAAATCCGCGCAGTCTGATCATGATCCATAGTGTTCGCTTACAAACCCTATAACAATTAGAGAAACTGAAAGCGAACAGCATGGATTCTAATCAGACTGCACGGATGCGCAGGCTGGTCTGGATCCATGCTTGTCGCAAACGCACAATGTTGGTTTTGTCGTGAAAATATGAGTAAAATATGTGTTAACTTAATAGTTATACGTTTCACAAAACGATTTTCTGCATGAATGAATATCATATCTTTTTTCTTTTAATTTCCTTTAGTAGTCATTTTGGCATAACCTTTAGAGATGATATTGTTTAGGTTTTGTTTCTAAAATCCATTGAATGTGAGCGTGTATATGCAACATAGGTAAAAGTATTTTGACATGATTTGATAGGCATATCCATATACATATTAATGACTGCATATATCGTACAGGGACCGTCAAAAACACACACATTGATTTTAGTACCGAATTTTACCTTCATTAGATTATAAAAAGTATATTTGCACTTCTAAAATAAGATGAATATGCAAGTATACTTATATGAGTGCTAAAATAAATAAATCGTTGTAATAGGATGATTGTTTTCACTAAGAAAACATTATATGTTATTGACTTTCTCCTTGTAAACGAGCATAATCTGCTAATATTCTTTTCAAGTGGAAAGTTTGAATCATTTTCAACTTAACCTTGTTTGAAAACTGAAGAAACACATTTGTACATTGAGTATGTCGGCCGACGAGAGATCCTAAATTTTGATTCAGCATTTACTTGTTTTCCCGCAAGTAAACACCAACTTAACATATCATCTTGTCGTCATGCACTCAAAACGTTGCAGAAAACCATATGCGTCGTCAAGGAATTGAGCTTACAAATCCAATGTCCGCATAACAAAATCTTTCATGTAGAGCTTATCGGCAGTGTTTGCTTGTCAGACAACAAAAAGGTTGATAAAACCATCATTTATGTAAGAATATGACACTCTTCTGCATTTTGAGACTGCCCACTGAATGTTCGCCATATATATATATCCCATAGTAAATCCATCACATCTATAGACTTAATTCTGGACACATCATATCCGTTATATGAACTTGATGGCTATAACTTTTAACAGCAATACTATCCAACTAAATTAAGCACAAAAATAATACATTTGCCCTTGGACTTTTCAGCAGCTTTTTATTTGTGTAATCACTATAAAATAATCCAAATAACAACTGGGGTGTATTCTGGTGCATAGTGCTTCCTGAAACCTTACAAAAGATATACTTGAAATATAACCAGTATTGCCAGGAATGAAATTGCCACTTCAAAATTCAGAAGAACTACTTTTTAAACTACAACGGACTGGGTCTAATTCCGTACCGGGGTGATACCATTAACAAATTGCCCGTATCTTCTTTTCTTTAAAACTCATAAATTTGTTGTAGTACAATATGTAGTATAATGTTATTACTGTTGCTTTCGTCACAAAAAAAGGAAGAAAAGTAATTTAAAGCTAAGTGGGGCTTTTAACAATTCACGCGGAAATGATGATTCATATTTAATGTTTACCGTTCATCTTGAAAAAAGATTGGTTTTATAAGTATAATTATCAAGGATATTTTTACGTAAGTTTGTTTAAAATTTATTATAACATATAACTTACACCCAATACAACGTAAGTTGTTTATGAATTGTGGTTTAAACCATAATATTGATACCATATTATCAATTTCATACTTAATTTTTATTTCATGATAGACAACTTTCGTTTTCATTTATAATTTACAGGTGTATTAAATTTATGTATAAAACTGATATTTTAGGTAATGGGTTATTAATTTAATAAGTAACTTCACAAAAACGATTTGTTTTTCTTTATGATAAATTGCGCCTTTGAATATACAAACGTGTTACTTTGTAGATACTTTCTGTCAACCTTCTGTCAACTTCCTGTCGTAACAAGTAAAACATATATAGGCTTCAAAGTTCGGAATAAATGGTTCCCTATAGTTTGCAATACATGGTACACATTGAATTGTATAGGTTGGCAAGACATGTTACAGTTATTTAGTTAATCAACTGTGGCATTTGTTTACTGACTGTTGTGAATAATGTAATTTAAAATGATATAATCGTTTTTATTTGCGAATGTGTGCTTTTTGATGCATGTGATTTTGTCAATGTTCCTTCGTTGGTTGCAATTTCAAGTAAAAAAATAAACAAAATATGATAAATATATATTAAATATGTGTTAACAAAGAATAACGCAATTGTGTTGCAAAGTTATCAAATGTATTCTAATAAGGCTTGGTGTGTGATAAGAGACCATTCAATACCATACAAAAGAATTGTTAAACAATAAGTTTTAACAAAAGTCCACGTAATTTTTGTTTGTTATGTAAGTTACTTCAAGATGATAGAGAATGATAAAAAATCGTAAAATGCAAAATACCACCTTTTCAATCAAATTACTGTAAAGTTGAACATATAAACAAACATTAAGCTTAAACCATATAAAACTGATAGCAAAACTTTTTTCGAGGACAGAAGCAGAAATATAAATAGTTGTTTCAGGATCGAATACCGCCAATGCAACAGCCCAGTTTAACAACTGTTCCACGTCAGTATCCAGTACATCCAAACATAAATGATGATGATGGGAAAGACACTAATGACGCGGAGTCGAGGATACAATACTATCTCGAAGCTTACAAGCATTATATTGTTCAATGTATCAACCCTGAAGATCTTTTGTTCTATGAACATTTCAGTATTGGTAAGTTCGGTTGTTGTTTTTTCCTTTTTCAAGATGAAAAAAGAAGTAAATAAACATAAGCAAGCTATTTGATGCATAGTGAAACATATAGTATGTGCGATTAAATCCTCATAGAATTAATTACCTATATTACTGAAGGGACTCAGGCTGTTCAGTTAAAGAAATCAAGTTAAAGAAACAATTTCAACAAGAGCCACCGCCGGGCGGGGGCAACGCTCGACTTTTTACTTTTTCTAAACGCAAACATAGAAAGGTTTGAACATATATTGATGTTTCCTTTTTATAAATTTAGTTGGTCTGTCTTGTCACATTAGTTTTGTTTATATATTTTGCATATATATGAATAGAAACATTAAGCATATTTCTAAAAATAGCAACAGTACGCAATTTCTAAAAATAGCAACAATGACACAATTTCTAAAAATAGCAACAACGACGCAATTTCTAAAAATAGAAAAAATGACGCAATTTCTAAAAATAGAAAAAAATGACGCAATTTCTAAAAAAAAAAAAAAAAAAAAGGAAAAAATGACGCAATTACCAAAAATACCACCAATGACGCAATTTCTAAAAATAGAAAAAAATGACGCAATTTCTAAAAATAGAACAAAAATGACGCAATTTCTAAAAATAGCAACAATGACACAATTTCTAAAAATAGAAAAAATGAAGCAATTTCTAAAAAATAGAAAAAATGACGCAATTTCTAAATATAGAAAAACATGACGCAATTTCCAAAAATAGAAAAAAATTAAGCAATTTCTAAAAATAGAAAAACATGACGCAATTTCTAAAAATAGAAAAACATGACGCAATTTCTAAAAATAGAAAAACATGACTCAATTTCTAAAAATAGAAAAAAATGACGCAATTTCTAAAAATAGAAAAACATGACGCAATTTCTAAAAATAGAAAAAAAATGATGAAATTTCTAAAAATAGAAAAACATGACGCAATTTCTAAAAATAGAAACAATGACGCGATTTCTAAAAATAGAACAAAAATGAGAACAAAAGACGAAATTTCTAAAAATAGAAAAAAATGACGCAATTTCTAAAAATAGCACTAATGACGCAGTTTCTAAAAATAGAACAAAAAATGACGCAAATTCTAAAAAAGCAACAATGACGCAATTTCTAAAAATAGAAAAATGACGCAATTTCTAAAAATAGAAAAACATGACGCAATTATATACATGTATATATATGTATATATATATATATATATATATATATATATATATATACATGTATATACATGTTTATCCCTTCAAAAATAGCAAAGTTACAGTCAGTTACTGCCAAAACAATGAAAATTTCAATAATTTGACCTTCAAAGGCAATGTCATTAATGAGTGAAGGTCAAGGTCTTTCGGTATATTTTTAACAGTTATCTTTGAAGATTATTATGTTCAAGTTTGAAGACAATCCATTCAAAAATAACAAAGTTACAGCCAATAATAGCCAAAAAAATGAAAATTTCAATAATTTGACCTTCAAAGTCAAGGTCATTGATGAGTGAATGTCAAGGTCTGACTGGTTATTTTTAAGGGATATCCTTGAAGATTATTATGTTCAAGTTTGAAGACAATCCATTCAAAAATAACAAAGTTACAGCCAATAATAGCCAAAAAAATGAAAATTTCAATAATTTGACCTTCAAAGTCAAGGTCATTGATGAGTGAATGTCAAGGTCTGACTGGTTATTTTTAAGGGATATCCTTGAAGATTATTATGTTCAAGTTTGAAGACAATCCATTCAAAAATAACAAAGTAACAGCCAATAACAGCATGAACAAGCAAAAATTGGACTTTTAACCTTGAAGGTCAAGGTCATTTATGGATGAAGGTCAAGGTTAGTGTGGTCTACTGAAAGGTCTTGTCCCAAGGGTTGTTGTGGCCAAGTATGAAGACAATACACCAAGAAATAAAAAAGTTATGATCCAGGTACAAGTTTTCGGACGGCAACGGCAACGGCAACGGCAACGCCGACCTGACTATAACAATACCTCTACTTTTTTTTTTCAAAAAAAAAAAGTCGAGCTAATAAATGACAAGGTATGTGTAGAATTTGAGAGTATCCTTATGAACTACCAAAGGTAAATTGCAAATTATTAAATGGAATGCCATAATACTTATAACACGATGAAAGCATGTTTATTTATTTTCAAAAATTAAACAGAAAGAAGAAAATACTTTCGGAAGCTGTCAAGTTCATCTCAAGATTCCATCCGTGTAGCGTCTAAAATGATAGACACAATTATTTCAATGAAATATGTTCCAGGCAGATTTTCGGCTCTTGTCAAATTGTTTGAAGTTGAATTCGGTCAGTTTCTCTCTTGCTGGTTTGATTTTTCTTGTTTTTATGAAACGAAGAATGTGCTAAACAGCAACTTTGTCATATCATTGAACTAATATAGATATGCTAAATATTGGTAAAGAAAATATCTTTCATTGTCTAAGATATAAAAATAGAATAAATGAAATTAGAAAAAACTAGAAATGTGTCCATAGGACACGGGTGCCCCCACCGCGCGACTGTTCTGTCAATCTTTTTACTACGTCAAGGGAAATAACTCTACAAATACTGGATAAATCCACAAGCGAAACCCCAGGTGCAAATCTAAATATGCTGAGCAACCAGCCCATAAGGTTTAATGACTATGTCAAATCCTTTTTTAGTAACTTGCGACACAAGTTGAAAATTGCAAAAATTTTCTAAGTGAAGGGCAATAACTCTAAAAATACCCAAAAAAATCCAGACAAAAATACCTGGTGCACAACTGCACATGTTGATCAATATTCCTGTAAAGTTACATGACTCTAGGTCAAATACTTTTTGAGTTACGTGCGACACATGTTGAAAATTGCAAAAATTTTACTAAGTCAAGGGCAATAACTCTTAAATACTAAAAATATCCAGACGAAAATACCCAGGTGCACAGCTTCACATGCTGATCAACATTCCTGTAAAGTTTCATGACTCTATGTCAAAGACTTTTCGAGTTACGTGCGACACAAGTTGAAAATTGCAAAATTTTACTAAGTCAAGGGCAATAACTCTGAAAATACTAAACATATCCAGACGAAAATACCCAGGTGCACAACTGCACATGCTGATCAACATTCCTTTAAAGTTTCATGACTCTCTGTCAAATAATTTTTGAGTTACATGTGACACAAGTTGAAAATTGCAAAATTTTACTAAGTCAAGGGCAATTACTCTGAAAATACTAAAAATATCCAGACAATCTACCCAGGTGCACAATACTACATGCTGAGCAACATTCCTGTAAAGTTTCATGACTCTAGGTCAAATACTTTTTGAGTTACATGCGACACAAGTTGAAAATTGAAAAATTTTACTAAGTCAAGGGCAATAACTCTGAAAATACTAAAAATATCCAGACGAAAATACCCAGGTGCACAACTGCATATGCTGATCAACATTCCTGTAAAGTTTCATGACTCTAGGTCAAATACTTTTTGAGTTAAATGCGACACAAAAGTGAACGGACGGAAGGACGGACGGACGGACGGACAAGGGTAAATCTAAATGCCCGCCACTAACGTGGGGGTTACAAAAATGAAATGAAGTGGTTAGCATGGTTTGTTCGAGTTCGAGTTCTAGAAATAAAAAGCATTAATTAAAAAACATTATGTTTGCAGCTTCATTAATTCATTTATAAATACAACTATGCAATCTTTTTATAAATGTTACAATACAAAAACAAACATGTTTGTGTTTCTATTGATGAATAAATAAAGGTGCATAAAACATTCTGGAATATAATACTAACCGTTAAACATGACCGTGTACATTTAGAAAATGAGAAGATTTCAAGAATTTTGAAAGGTGAAAAGATTCCTACGAATCGAAAAGAAAATAAAGAGAAAATTCAAAAGGTGTGTTCGGCGGAAATATGCAAGAATCTGAATGTAACAGAGATAATTCCACACCTTTTAGAAGAAAAGATGATTTCAGTAAACGAAGGAACACAATTAAAGAACAAAGCGGAAAGAGAGACTCCTTTCAGTGCTGCAATAGACCTTCTTCTTAAATTACCACATAGACATCCCAACTGGTACACGAGATTTCTGTCTTGTCTTGTAAAATCTTGCCATGCAGATCTGGCGAAACTTGTAGATGAGGAATTATGCAAGAGTAGGTCCTAATTATCTAATTATGAAACAGTCTCAAATGAAACAAGTGACTCAGTTTCATTCGCTATTAAAACACGTCCGTTTATAAGATTCCTGAAAATAGTCTATAAATCGTTTCCTTGATTACACAATTTTGCGGCAAAAATAGTGATGTATAACATTAGTGCGATTTGAACTTGAATAATTTTGTTTATATCACATTAAACAAATCTTTCTTAAATTTACAAATTACAAAATATACATAACCAGGAAGTTTTAAAATGAGCATTCAATTTGTGTTACAATATATATATTTAGATATTGCAGCGTCATTTGTATTTGTTCAACCCGGCAAAAAACGTAATCTTGAAGACGTATCTTTTATCTTTAATAGAAATCATCCAGGATATGCCTACCCGAGAAAAGGAAGGGAACCCGCCCGTTGACTATCGTGACGATTTTATGTCATGTGGTACGAAGTTTATACTAAAATTATTTCTCAAAAATGTCAATGTATCATAGTTTGTAACATGATATATTGTTGTATATTCACTTTTTATAGGTATTAACAAGTTATTTCATTATCAATTTAACATACCAATCTTTCAACCTTTCTTAAATGATTTTATGACATAATTATATCGTTTAAGTTTCAGGTTCAGATAGTGTGCACCTCAAGCATCGGAAGGAAGATGGAATAAAAAGCAAAACTTCGACAACATCAGTAACATTAGAAAATGAAACCGATTTAAAAGGTAGGAACAATCGAATCAAAAAGGAGTTCCATCGAGACCTTTGAACTCGGTTGGATTTTGACTGTTCACGAGACATAGTAAAATGTTCAGCATATCATATGATTTTAGGCACGACTTGAGCAACGTTCAATCTTCAATGTTAGAAATATTGGCATCAATAATTTAGAAGGTCCACAAGTACAACAGAGTTAAAATAAAGAAAACAGCAACTTAAACAACTGACCAATAGCAATTTATAACTGTAGATTTGGGTATGAAATATATTATATGAGCAGATTCCTCAAGTAGTAAATAAAAATTAAAATTTCAGACTCAGTTCAAGGGTGTTAACGAAACTTTCAATGACCATTAGCACCGGCTCTAGCAATCTTCAACTTTAAAAGTTTTAAAATCTATAATCCTGAAGGATAAAAACAACACAGCGATTTAGTACAGCTGTCATATAGCACTTTTTAACATTCTGTCAGAAAACAAATAACCTAACATTTGTCTTATTTTTCAAATAAGATTAAGCAATTTACTCCTATTTTCATATCTGTTCTTTTTTTGCATGAACAATGGCTATATGAAAGGGTCGATCATTTGCAGATATCCAAAATTACATACAAGTTTATACAATTCAACATTCTGACAGACGTCATAAAACATATGAGATGCAATTTTGGAAGCAATTTAATTTGATATTGTTTCTCTTTCAGATAAAACTATATATACGGAGACCGTTGTACCGACAGAATGCTCCCTTGAAAATGAAAGGTAGGACATACCGCTCAATACTATACGTAGAATATTCGTTATGATATAATTAAGTATTTGATATATTAAATAGTACTCATAAATTGTCTGTAACTAAAATTAGTTTCAAAGTTGTTGCATTGTCAATTTAGCATTGTTTAATTACCTGCTTCCAGAATAACTGTTGCTGAATGGGTAATTGCAAGTCAAGATATGGATGTGAACTCTGTCAGAGAACGAAGATCCACTGCAACAAATAGACCTTATTCTCTCATATGTGAAAAGTAAGCCACATTTGCATGTTTTATAATGTAAGAATACAAAGATATTGAAATGTTTGACATTATAAACAAAGTTTAGATGATTTTTGTGTATAATCTCGTATTCTACTTTGAAAGCTTTGATTATATCTGATAAAAAGTTTGCTTTATATGAACCACAAATTTAATTTCTAAGTAAGACTTTTTTCTATTTTCTTTCGGTTTGTAATAAATTTATTGTTGCTTTTGAATGTGATCCAGCAAACAACTTTAACATTCAGTCATATATGTCTTCATATTTCCTCCTCTAGACCTTTTCGGAAGACGAGATCGAAACGACACCAGACCTTACAGATACCAATGAACCAGATGGCAATAATACAAAAGTATTTCTTGAAAGAGCATCAAAAGGCAACGCCAGTCTACCATAGGTAAACCAATTCATATATGGTTCATGAATAAAAATTAAAAAGAGGACACATGCTATCATTACTTACTTTTTCTTTTTTCTGGCCGAAAGCCGTCTTAAATCAGTTGACATCAGTTGACATCCTGTTAACTTTACAGGGATGAACTTAATATAGGAAGAATTTTTATTGGTCATCTTAAAATGCAAATGAAATCGAGTTCATTTACCGAAACACGACAAGTTCATTTAGCAATAAATTTATTTGACAGTTTTCATTTATCAAGATTAGTAACCTCATTAATTATTCTGTCGATTGTTAGATAAGTACTTTTACATCAGATTACTTATGTTGTTGTTTTTTCGGATTTTCAGTGTTTTGCAGTATTTATCTCAGTATTTGTTGCACATCTGTGATTTACTATACCAACGAAGCGTTCTCATTTATAAATTTGACTACCTTTTCAAATTTCCATTTGATTAATTTTAATTGTTGAAGTAATTTTTATTAAAGCGTAAATTACATTTAGTATACAAGAGTAAAAAAAATCTATTTGTACCCTACATTTTTAATGTGGTGGTTGGGTTTATGAACCCCTTTTAGGTCTATCTCTGGTAATCACAATTATTTTTGTTTGTGAAAACACCGCTGTAGGCTCAAATCTCTACAGGGAATTTGGATGCTTTCATTTGAGGAAGCTATCCAGCTAACTTGCGGTATGTCGTTGGTTTTACTCGGGTGCCCATGTTGGCTTGAAATAATGCACGGAACGGCATCTGAAGTCTTCCTACACCAGTAAACTGAAATGTGCCATATGACCTATACCGTTTCGATTAACATAAACCCAATCAAACAACAAACGAAATGCATTTTTATTTATGTTTCCTTGATATTATTTATTTCCTGATTAATGTACTTCAAACGTTTAAGATAAACATTAATGACGAAATACTTATTAACAAATTTGCATATTCATCAATGTAAAAAATGTTGTAGTACCGAATTATTCGTTCAATTGTTTTATATATCCTATCAATTTACACAGAAGTTATCGTATACTTATCATAACATATGTAGCTGAACATTACATATTACACTAAATTAGTATTTGTAGTACCATAAGCATTTCTTAAAGCTAATAATTACGTTATTTCAGTTATGATGAAATTCCGAAAGACGCGTCTTTTTGTTCTAGAAGTTCCTCAATGTTCAGTAGTATGGACAGTCTAGAAAGTATGTGTGTGGACCTTCAAATGAGTGTTGATGAGAAAGAACACAGCTGTGTTAACTTAGAATTCATTGGCATCTCAAAAAATACTTCAGTAATGCTTCTTTATAATTATTATGCTGAGAAGGTTTTTAAGATTGTCTGATGGTAACTCATTAACTTTTCTGGTAAATTTTAAAATGTAGAACAATTCACTCACCTAGACTTCTTTGATACCATAACAAATTATTTCTAGATAAAAAAATTATTATAAACTAGTACTTAATTACTTCAATAAATGGTTAGTATTGCATACTTAAATTGAGTTTGACTTCTTGTTTCTTATAAATCCTTTACAACTATTTCGACCTTCATCGCTAGAAAGTCAGTATATGAATACTCAAAGTTTATAATGTATATAGAAACTTTTCAAACAAAACGTTTAGTAGATCTTGATGTATTAATACTTGTTTTGGAAGAGTGTGTGAACTCCCAAAGTCACTGTGATATTTCACTCGCAAAATTATGTGTTTTCTTCAATTGAAAACGTTTTGTCTAATGGGAATTTTTAAATGACGAGTGAACAAGAGAAAAGGTGATATTTACTTTACAGGACTTGAATCAAAACTCTTCTGATGGTGTACAAATTATACATGAAATGGAGGAAAACACAACAACAATGGACGTTGAAACAAAATCACATTTAGATTGTCAAAGAATAGATAGAGCAATACAAACTGAAGGTATAGACTCGGGAAAATATTTTCAGATAGTTTTATCAAACATAAAGAATTTCTTTCAATGATTTATACTTTATGATCAAATTCAGGCTGTAGAAATATGTTCAGAGACTTTGCCAAATAGTAAACGTTAAAAATTAATACAAAATGAATGTTTTATGTTACGACTTATCTATCTCCTTGAGGATTTAATATATTTGTTACTCCAAACCAAACTGCTTGCGATTGTAATAAATATAGAGAAAATAGCTCAAACACTAAAGGAAGACATATCTAGAAATGTCAATGCTTTATATTAATGTAGTATATATAAACATCTTGAATTATAATGAGATGAATAAATGCAAAAATGGACGAACAAATGACTAAAATATTCTACATATTGCAGCAAAGATGAAAACATCAAACTGTCCAAAATTCCAACAGTTGCTTACGATGTCCTTCTTACATCCAGTTAAGGTAAAGATAAAACATGTTTTGTAAATGTACTCGTCAGAACTTAGTAAGGGCTTATTTGTAAGTGTTCTCAATTAAATTAAGAGGGCGAAAACAACATAAATATATGGTTAAAGTGGAAATTTACTAGTCAGCAAATTCGCAGAAAATAATTATTGATCACAATTATTACTGTATATATTTATGCCTTTGCTTAAACAATGTTCAATATATGACGGAATTTGATTTCCAGATATTCCAAATATGGAATACAGATAACAATATTGCTTGTATTGTAGTGTGAAATCATAATATTTCATTAATCTAGATCCTTTGACATTAAAATAATCTTTTAAATATCATACCGGGTATTTTAAATGTCAAAATAGAAAAAAAATGTAAAACTGATATACGTATTTATTAAAAGCTCTATAAACACAGATAATATTTTAAATGACAAATTCATAAAATACTTAATTCCCGACGTTTTGATGTGTTACATGTACCCACTCTCTAACAAGATACTGACTCTCACTGTAACATATTCTTTTCACTTAAAAATGCAAATTGTTGACACGTTGCTTTTGATAACACACCAGAACGTCGGAAAATATACATGAACTGGACAATTGATAAATATATATATATTTCATTACATAATTATATATACCTCAAGATATCACTTGTGGTGAAGGATAACCCGGATATTCATAACCTATGCACAATACTTGACTGGATGTCCCACAGAACGATAGAACTAGAGGATTATTCACTGTCAATTAAGGCTCATTACATTTCTACTGTGATTCAGGCAGCTACGGAAGCTGAAGATATTGATGTTCTTATTAACAAGTTAGTAAATGATATCGTTTTAAAGGTTTTTAAGCTATACTTAGCATAATATAAATTAAAGACATCTAAAGCAGTGCAATCTTATTTTTATGTTTTCATATTTCATATTTAAAGATAAGTTTACAGCCAAACAGGACATCTTTTGTAAAATAGAGAGACATATAATCCTTCAAGACAATAAAAAAGGCAACATTGAAAATGATGCAGACTCGGTTTGATTGAGCCTGTTCATGGACAGTACTTGAAATGGCAAGCTATTGTTCACGCCCCTAGCAGCGGCTTAAGTAGTGCTGCAGTTTAAAAACATCTGCAGATGTGTTCATACGGCTAAGCCGCGTAAATTATATCTGAAAGGTGATACCTGCTGAAACCAGGTGATTAGCCTTTGCCACACGTTTAGAGCCAGGCCAGTCTGCAGATCCTTGCAGTGCAATCTGTGTCTATACTATTAACTGATCAACTTCAATTTTGCATTCTGCATCCCCAAACTTGAAATTTGACAGTTTCTAAACTGTAGCATGAACATGTCCGTTTATCGCCAGAATAAAAAAGGGGTAAACAAGCAAAATATTCAACTGATGTTTCAGTTGATTAAGAGATGTTTTGCACATGGGCGCCGCCGCTTTATTTAAAATCACCAAATATCATTCGTTCAAACTTCATATATACTATGATATGACTTTCATCAAGAAACAAATAAGCTGTTAGTATATGCTAGGAAAAGCATTATACATTCTGCTGTTGCATACCAATGCCCCTTGTGACTGAAGGGTTGCCCTTAAGCAGTCAAGCATTAAAATTACAGCCACCCTGCATGATCTTAAGAGGTCACTAAATACGGCTAAATTACTGGAGTCTATGTCTCTTTTAGCACTGGAAGGTGACGTGGTTTTGACCTATGACGTTACTTTAATTTTGTAGGACCCAAGGTTAGCAGAAATCTGTTTTCCTGTTTCGCAGCCATATGATTTAATTATGTTGGGAAAATCAAACAAACAAAAAAACAATTACATGTTTGTACCATCAGTAAGATGTGTGTCAATCATATCTTAAATGAGATCAAGAAGGGCCACCAACACAGACAACAGTTTCTTATAAAACGGTCGGATCAGATTGTTGATAAGACAATTTTTATTAAGCCTTAAGGTAAACTTGATTAAATGGTACATACGATCATTCAAGAAATAATGAACATTGGTGATATAAATAAACAACCCGAAGAAACTACAATTCAAAATATTGTTTAATCAATATATTCATTTATTTTAGCTTACTAACTGCCAGAGAATCAGATGGTTACTTCGAAAACCAAGACTTTTTGATAAGAGACGTTATAGAAAAATATGAATATAAAGAGACAGAGATATTTAAAACGATCTTTGCAGAGCTACAGCTGTCAGATACGGTATACATTAAATGAATTATACTTATTTGCTTTGATATGTAAATTATCAAGAAACGATTTGGTGTTTAATGAAGATGTGATAATGTATCAGGAAGTAAAAGTGTTACCCGAAATGGTAACTTTATAAAACTGATCATGAATTCTATGTTATTTCCAGCTTGAAGTTTTCTTCAATAGTTTGTCTTCTGCTACTCTGGATATCAAGAACGTTACACCATACATGATTCATTACTCCTAATAGAAACTGTAAATCATGCACTAGATTCAAACTAAAATGTATCTATGTATTTCTGACGCTAATTAATTAATAAACTATTTGAAAACCTATTTCAATATTTCTTTGTAAGATTTTGAAGGCTTAGAAATATTTATATTTCCTAAATGGTTAAATAAAGAGTGGTTTTAATGACGTCATACCAGTAATGTTTTATCAATACTTAATTGGAGAACAAATATGAAACATTCATATCCATGATTATATCAGCCCTATAATAATTAGGAAAATAATACTTAACTTTAGTGAAAACAAATTATTATTTTTAGGGAGATGGGCTGTCATCTCTTAGAATACTTACTCAAATTCTACAAAGAAATTCTACTGGAGATAACAATACTGATAGTGCAAATAACAATGAAATTGTAAAGAAAGATAGTGGCTGCTACGCGAGTGAAGATTTTGAGAAATTGAATCAGTTTACCGACGAACTGAGTGGGAATACTCTATCATTGAATAAAAGTTGCAGTAGGAATGAGAATGTCACAAAACTGAAAGATGAAATGTGTAATACTAATGGTAATGCCATTAAAGAAAATGACCGAATTTGTCAAGTTACTGATTTATCTGACACAACAAAGGAAAGTAAGTGGAATGGGATTACCAAAGTAAAAGTGGGATGCGACGCCAAAGAAAGCGATACCATGAAATCAAATACGTGCAAAACATGCAATAATTGCATGACAAACGGAGAGGAAAAATGTTGTACAGAAAGAACACGCTTGAAAGATGAACAGGAGACCAGGAAAGCTAATAACAGTTTTGAAGAAACGAACGACAAAACCTTAAATGTATGTGCAGCGACTGTAGTAAAGGAAAAGTATACGGATAAATCATCGGTAATCTTCAAAACTTCTACTGCATTTACTAATTCTTGATTTGTAACAATGTTTGAAAAGTATTCAGATAAAATGAATGGGAATTTGAATAAGATATTTGACACTGTGTTTAAAGAACAGTTTCAAAGGCAATATTTCACGTATAAAGAAAATATATACTGCATTTCAGGTTGATCAGGTTGATACCAATATTGGAACAAAATCTAATCCCTGTGGATGTTTTATTAGAGGTAAGTCAAACACTCTTTAAGACAGGAAGCTGGGCTCCATGTTATGCTTACTCCTCCACCCTAGAAAAAGATTCGTTATTAGGGATTCATAAAATAGTGCCCTTTTATGTCATTCTTTTTTCAAGCTTGAAGGTCTTTGGTCCAGTTACGGGTAAAGGATGAATTAAAAAATAGATAACAGAATCAATTTAACTTTGAATGATCTTAGAATATGATATCAGACACATTTTAAAGTTGCATGCCTTTAGATAAGGCAAACTATATCACGAAAATTAAACTTTAGATATGTTAGAATTTTTTAAAGTATAAAGATTTAAGGTTTAAATCATAATTTGCATTTTATGTGCGTTTTTTTGTATTTGTTAAACAATTAAGTATATTATTCTGCCTATAAATGTAAATAATTTAAGCATTAGCCTTTAATTAATCTTAAATTCAAAAAGAAATTTTGACTGTTCTTTGTAGGCTGTTTCGGAAATGTATAAGTGTGTGATCTTGTTTGATGAATCAAAATAAAAGTATTGGATGGCTTTTTCATTTTTTTCTACATAATGTACGCGTGTTTAAAAATGTTTTAAATAAGATACAATGTATGATGTTAGTTTGTTTTAACTCACAGTGCAATGGATGGAGATATATATATATATATCGTTTCAGATGAAGCAGATTCAATATCAAGGTCGGACGTATACTTAGAAACAATGTCTCCAAATAGTCCAGACTACAAAGTTATAGAAGAACAAAAGTTTAAGAGATGCGGTGTGACAATCGTTTGTGTAAGTAGCCTATTTCAAAAGCTTATTCCAAGTTCTCTTTCTTTTACCATTTTTTTTGTTCTGAATTGCGAAAGCCGTGTCAGTTATACAGTACAAAAATACTAACTTTTGTGTCGGACATTGCTACGTGTTGTACCACAATTATTCTGAAATGTGCCTGCTTGCTTAGCTCAATAGGGAAAATATCGGATTGGTTGATTGTTTGCTCTTCGACATATGATCAAAAGCTGTGTTTACATCGGCGCCAAACAGAAAAAAAAACAAAGTAAACAAAAACTTTCTGACTTGACATAACTTCAATATAGCAATACTTTTAGATTTAACTAATCATACGCGTTACAGACAAAAACATTTATCTAAATTAACATCTCATTAAAATGCTCGGTATAAATTATACATATATTATCATTTTTAAGTCATGACATGAAACATACTTATCTTTGTCCATTCTTATCAGATACATAGAATAAGTAATCAAAATATGTTGTCAAGATTTACACGTCAAAAGGAACTCCTTCAAGAAAATAAAGGAAATGCAAATGTGCAGCGACTATTTCATTGGTCAAAACACCTGAAGGCTGTGATTGAGGAAGGGTTTGATGCTGTGATTACAGAGCATGGGTCAGAAGGTAACAAACTTAAAGTGTCTTAACTATGAGAATCAGTTAATGTTTATTTGAGTTTTAAGATTTGAAAAAGAAAAATCTTTATAGTTCTTATAATGATGACAACACTGTTAGATATTCACAAGTTTTTTTCCGGATATTTAAAGTGAATATAATCACAAACTTACTCTAATTTGTATCTTTTCAGAGTTTTACTTTTCAAATCACCCATTATTGTTCGAGCCTGAAATCCACAATTTTGATCCAAATTTGAGGACTAATTCAATTGAAGAAAACTCTCGGAGGTAAACATTTTTTCTATTATTAGCATAGGCTTTTGTAATTACTCGACACAAAGAAAGAAAGTTTAATAAATTGTAATATTTCAGTTATGGGTCCAGTTTGTAATTTTGCAATAAGGAAAATAATGTTTGGTATATTTAATGCAAAATCGTTATAGCTGCATGTCCACAGATGAAATAAAATATTTCAAGAAAACTTGAGAAATATGTTCTACCATTTTAATAAAAGTAAAACGATTCAAGATTTAAATAATAATTTACATGAAATGTACGATTAATTTCTGATTGTGCAGTATATTTCACCATACATCTATTTCTTGTCTATCGCTTGACCATTTTTGTGTTTTACGTGTATTGTACGTGCCGAATGCGCTTTAGAATGTACAAAACAGTCAGATATATCTTAAAGTTATTTGAAAGGAAACCTTTTTGAAAGGATAACGTTTAAGATATATCATTAAAGCAGAGAACACGTCAACTAAAGCTATTGTAAAATACTGTTTAGTGTTGATCAGATTATAAAATATGATTGCCTGATTTTGTTATTACTAAGTTCATTTGTAGACTTTATTTTATGCTTTTGAATGGGTTACTGATTTATCCGTGAAAATTATATAATGATAATTTCATTTCACAGAGAAATTATCATTATATAATAACATACTTTTAAAAGAAAATCTTCATTTTCAAAAGATTTTCCCGATTTCGTTTAGAGCAAAGCAAATAGCTTAAATTTCAACGTTATCAAAAAGATAAAACTTGTTTCAATTCTTTTAATTCATTAATATTAAGGAAATTTCATAAAGTTGTATTTAAGCATAAAATAAAAAAATGTGTTTATTTGTTGAGTAAGATGTAATTTTATTTTATTTCATGAACTCACGTGAGAAAACTGTTTTCAAAGGTCACATACTGAAATAAAATTAATTTCATCTTACACAAAACAAACATATATCCTCTTTTCAGATTGGTAAGAAATATCATTTTTAGAGCCTATAAAAACGAAAATCACTTTCAGGAGGAGCATCTTGTTATGCAGTGTGTGTCTGGGAAAAACGAAAACAGGAACTAACACAAGTGTTCCTTGTGAAGCTAATCTAGAGACTTTTAAAGAATGCCATTCCGTGAGAATGAGAGTTGATTTTAACAACGATTTCTACCTCAAATACAAAATATTGAATGGTGATCAGGTAAAACAATGTTAAATGAGTTAAATGAGATTTACATTTTCATTAACTTGTACAAACCCTAAAATGTCCAATACATTTGTCTAACTGGTATGCCAAATATGATTCGCCTGAGTTTTTAAGATGAATTGGTATTTTAATTTTCTATACAACATTAAAAATTCAGCATAAAATTATTTATTTACTTAATCGTCAGTTTTTGATAAGTAATCTTTTGAACTTTAATGATACAAGTGTCAATCGTTGCTTCTTACTACGAGTATATTAAAGCAATATACATCCAATAATAACACCTTAACTATATTATTCATGTTTATTTCAGGTATACCCAGAGTATTTGGTAACATACGAAACACTTGATACATGATAAATCTTCATTTGGATATAGCATAATAATGGTGATACATATCTTATAAATACAAAGTAAATTTAAAAAAAAAACTATGATGAGTTTTGCGTCATATCTGCAGCGAAAATGTTTTGAACAAATATTTTCATTAGTGCTAATTGAAAAAGGACTTTATAAAAAAGGAAATATATATGATGATTTTTTTCAAAGCACTTACTGTAACTGAATATGTAAAATATTGTAGCAAAGGTATTTTGTATTAATTAGAGTCACATTGTTAATGAATTAAAATAATGAATTGCATAGGCAGTCAATAGGATAATGAAAAGGACACCTAAAATCACATTCTATAGGTAAAGTAATAATTTTTTCTGTTATCTATTATATATTATTGCTTAATGTGTTGTACTTCATTTAATTTACATATTAAAGCATAACGTGTTGATGTATAGTGATAAACAAGAATAAATCATGTCGGCTATTCATAATGTTAGTGTTTCTTTGGAGTGTGCTTATACTGATGTAAAAAAGAAAATCATGAAAAAGATGATAAGGCTCTCTTAATAGGTCAATTGTTCAAACGTACATGTGCACGTAACATTACAGTTATAACAATTGAAAGAAAAGTCAATGCGCTTAGAAATTATACCGACATATTTAATCATCTCGTGCATGCATATCAGACATGTCTAAGGTAAATGGAGACACGAATCTTTACTTCACAGAATAGCGTAAAATGGTCTGTATTATATGTGAACATGCAATTATCGCGAATCGAAAGCATCACCGACCTGAATCGTACAATGAGGCAGCTTGGCAATTGTACCTCTGAAAATAATATTAGACACAATAAAGTGTGTAATAAACAATTAACCAATGAATAAATTGTATGTCTTCTGTGAAAGATGGTATCCTAGGCTTAAAGAATACATGTGGTCAATTGAGATCTGGTGAAAATTATTGTGACATTATGTCCATGTATTGACTTTATTTTCCTAACTATATATCTTGCTATTTATGTGAGAACCGCACAAGGAACATGTTGTTAAAATTTAGGTCTGAACATTTCAGCTGTAACGTAATGATAGTTTATTTTGTTAAAAGTATTTGATTTCATGCGGAAATCTAGTTGCAACGGTAACCAAAAGGAGTAATATATTTTTTCAAGAACAACAAGGTCTAAAGCAGAGTGTAATAGGCAATGTCTGGTGGACCTGTATCAATATCCCTTGGGTCAAAATTATCCCCGACCCGGGGGTTATGTGATTTCCTTATTCTTATATAGAAAACATGTAAAAAAGCTTTTTCTTAAAAACTGCAAGGTAAGGTTAAGATATTTAGCATTTAACATTTTTCGTGAACCAAATTATAGCTTTTACCCAAATTTAGATAAAAATAAAAATTGAACCGGGCCTAGGTTATGGCTTTTCTTCAATCATAGTTAATAATAAAACGGAAATATCTTGTTATCTTGTTTTAATAATTGTTAAATATGTTGAAATGTATTCTTTCTTTGTGTTGTCTTTAAGCCTAACACAGAGTACGCATGTGCATGGGCTTTATTCGTTTCTTAAGTTAGATATATCGTAATGTAAAATGATATTTAGTTAACATTTTTGCATACGTCACAATACCCGCTTTAAAAAGGAAGTAAAGGAGTTTTAAACCAGTGTCACAGAATTCATAATTAATATTCATTTTGTTTAAAATTTGATGACTTGAAACGAAAACTTGGTTTCATTTATACACAACGGCTATTTCTACGTAAGTTGGTTTATATAAATGTTATCTTACCGTTTTGTAAAGTTTAAAAGCCCACTGTATTACATGTAGCTATCTAAAGATGGTTAATTAAAACCATCAAATTTATATCGCATTACGAATTTTATATTTAATCTCGTGTCACGATTGCCAATTTTATATATGATTTATAAATATTATAAATAGGTAATAGGTAATTTGTTAATAATTTAATAAACAACTTTACCTATACATATAATTATGTAATTCTGCTGATTTTAATGCTTCATATGAATAATTGTTTTTCAGGTATTCAATACATTTCAACCTGTTGATAATTGAATAACACAGACATATTTAAAAAATATATTAAATTCAATTTGACAAATTGTCTATTTAAATCGAAAGTACATTAGTTTGTTTACAAGTGTATGCTTTTCTTAATTATAATTTGAGATGTTATTATTTTTTATACGTAGATTGAACATGTTGCGACTTTAGAGCAGAAGATTCCTAATCATATACTATAAGTTTTGACGATATATATGCTCACTTTATTTTGTCAAAGCATAGCAACATTGTTTATTTACAAATGATTGAAGTGATGACCATCTCAAACTTATAGGTTAAGGCACAAATAGCCTACGAAATAGATAGATTTTTAAAACATGTTTTATAATGTTTAAAAATGGATCGAGATGTAAAATCCTTTGTAAATAGCACTGAATTAGGAAAACAATCATAAAGGTAGCACAATGTAAACAAAGTGGTATTTTGACTTCAGTATACTCAAAAATACTAGAGGTGATAAAAAGTCAAAAGATGACTCCGATATATGACCAATGAGTTACATTTTTAAACTATAATAGGGCACCTAAAATATGTACTTTCAAAAAATAAAAACAACAGCATTATTGATACTTAATGGGACTCTTAAATTTCAATTTTCTCGTACCAGATATAGATGTTTGGGCGTATGTGTGACTATATTATCAGAGTCGGTAGCAAGATAACTTGTAATATCGTGTACGTCAATTATCCCTACGGTCTTATAAATATTCATGTGTGATAGCTGGAGATGATTTAAGAAAGAGACAATTTAATACGAGATGAAAACATTATCTTATATTGGCTATGTAATTTTAGTTTATACACTATTTTATTCACAAAATAATACATGGCAGTACATTACAAGTAGTATTGATTTTGTTAATACATATTATAAAAAGAAAAAAATAACGATAGTAATATGTTTCTTTAACATTTTGGAATCGGGTATGAAAACAGGTATAAAATACTTATGTTGATTTAACTCCTAAGGTGTTTGAAGAAGAATGGCTAAGATTCGAAAAGTAATTAATTTGTAAGGATATATAGATTTATAGATTTAAAATAATTGTTATTAGGTTTTTGCTGCTACAGTGCTTGGAGTTTTGGTCTTAGATAGCGTGAAGTAAATTTCTAGCGTAAACAGTAATATTGGGCCGCTGCGACGTAAAGCGACGCGATGCGACAATAAAGTCTCGTACTGTTTAAAAACAGTTGTATTATCATCATATTAAGGTTTTCAGATCCGTAAAGAAGATTTCGAAAAGATGTTGGGCAAAGTAAGTTGGATAAGAGCGCTTGTCTATACGACAGTACAGACGATAATGGCTGGTTGTCTTTATTTCGCCGCATGCCGTTTGGTAAATTAGTAATGGATTTTCTAAACAGGTCATAATTTTGTGAGTAACATCCTTAACGTAATCAAGTGTTCAATATGTGGGCATGTCTATTACCAGAAAATAAAATAAGGGAGGTTTACGTATATTTGCGTTAAATTTACTTTTAAAGATCGTTAGGGTAGGGCTAGATTTAGCATCTTTGGTTTGTTTCTTTTTGCGAGATAATATAAGAGTTGGATTGAAGTCGATTAACCATCATGTTGCCCACGAGTAAATGTTTTGTAAGTCATTAATAAGTGATGTTGCCGTGGTGTTTGATGTATCAACAATTAGATATAGGTGGTGTCGTCAGCAAAGAGACGAATATTAGAATTCCCGGTTATAACAATGTCATTTATGCAAATTAGGAAGAGCAAAGGACCGAGTATTAAGCCTTGTTGCACGCCAGATGAAACCGAACACCAGTCAGATGATGAATTACAATACGTTGTTTTCTATTTGAAAGATATGAATGAAACTACTGATGTAGAGAACCATTTATCCCAATAAATGAAAGCCTTTTCATAAGACCCATGTGCCATACTCGATCACACACCTTTGAGATGTCACAGAAAACCATTCTTATTTCTTTGCCTTCATCAAGGGCTTTACAAATGTCATTCTAAATATATAATAGTTGATTGGTTGTTGATTCACCATTTATAAATCCATATTGATAAGGAGGGAGTATAGTGTTTTGAATTTTAAGTTTGTAGACATATTTTTGAGCGTTCCATTAGTTTAACAATACAGCTTAAAATAAGATAGGTGATCCGTAGTTACCAGGATTATAAGAGTCAGACTTTTTGAAGACAGGGGTGACGATTGCTTTTTTTCCAATTCATCCGGAAAATAAGACATACACAAGAGTTTATTGAAGAAAGTAGAGAGCAGGTTAGCAAGTGCACTTGATGTTTTTTTAAAGCTGTGGAATGACAAAATCTGGTCAAGATGCTTCATTGGGATTGACATTTACGATTGAGTTCAACACGTCTTGTGGTACTATGGTAATATTATTTAGGAATGCTGATGGTGTAGTATTGAGAGATGGTGGTTCTTTGTTACTCTCTTGTAAAGAAATTTGTTGACTGAAGAAATAGTATAGAGGATTGGCCTTGTTTTGGTTTGTGTCCGCTTGGGAGGATCGTGTGAAGAGTTTTGGTGTAAGGTTATCCGTGTAAGAGAGTTTGAGGATTGTTTTTGGTATC